TTTTCTGTGCTATCAAGGAAGGGGATGGAATTCCTAACCTGTTTTCACAATGAGCAAATGGACTAGCAGGAAGAATCTAAGTAGTTATTTGGTATGTTATTTCTTATGTATCTGAAAAGATACTAGGCTTGTCTAGCTTTGGAAGCACTTGTATTGGCAATTCCAGAACTGTCACGGGAGCTCAGTAATATGTTTTGGTTAGAAAGTGAATTTCTTACCTTTTTTTTCACACATCAGTACATTTTTTCTTCACATGACCTTTTTTCCATGTGCCCATTTTACCAATGTCAGAAATGGAAAGATAGTTTCCAATCAGAATGTCACTAATTAGTTAAAAATGTCAGTCACTATCAAGAATCCTGCAGAAGTCTTTTCCTGTGCTGCAATGCATATGGTTTTTTTTGTTTTTTTCCTTGTGTCTGCATTATAGTTTGACTAGATCAGTGCTTATCAGTGTCTTTATTTCCAATCTTTATGAGAATTCTAACTTTATGAAAAGCTTTAGATTCTCTTTGCTTTGTAGACCAAAGACTGCAAATAAAATCTAGAAGTAGTCTGGCCAGTTTACAGTTAAAACTCATTTATTTCTTGCATGTCATTGCATTGTCATTGTATACAATACTTTAAAAATTGCTTTGGCATGTCTACAGAGTTGCACCAGGGAAAATTCTTTTGTGGAGACTTGCTTAGGAAATGTTTATATATCAGTTTTTACTGAGTAGTGCAGCCATGAAACACAATGTCTATGAAATAAAATATTCAACTTTTCAGACACTGATATTCAGTTCAGGTGGAAAGAATATTCATTGAAGGTGAAAGTTGGCATGAACATGAGCAAAAGCATGCGTAAGGCATGGACAAGAGAGAAAGAGCCTACAGTTGGTGAATGGTTACATCTAGTTTGTTCAGCTATATATAGGCATGAGATCCTTTTGGCCAGAAAACTAATGTGCAAGCCCTTTTAAACTATAAGCATATGGTAACATTTCAGGATTGGTAGGTTTTCCATTGCAATCTTACGTTGTGATGTGTATTTTTATTTCTGTACTATTACAGAATCACAGACTGGTTGCGACTGGAAGGGCCTCTGGGTATCATGTGGTCCAAGCCCGGGCAGCACCACCTACAACTGGTTGCCCAGGACAATCTCCAGATGGCTTTTGAATATCTCCAAGGTGGGAGGGTCCACAACCTCTTTGAGCCAGTGCTTGGTCACCCCCACAGCAAAAAACTGTTTCTTTATGTTCAGAGGGTGTTCCTGTGCTTCTGCTTTCACAATGCAGACTCGTAGCTAATATCCATTTAATTGTGCAGCTGCACATTTTGTACCTCAGTAGCTAAGGTACTTGCTCATTGCCTCAGGAGGGGTTTCTTTCAGCCGGACAGCGTAAGCAGTACAATGCCTCTGTCATGTCTTCTTATCTGTAGGCTAAGGGCATTCTGGTCCTAGAGCAGACATGAAAAGGCTTTTCCTCCATACAATGGGCATCATTCCAGAGGCAGTGGATAATGGCCTAGCTCCAAAGCCAGGAGGAGGAGTAGCCAGACAAGATGGACACTTGCATATTCCCTGTAACATTTTCCTTGTTCTGTTGCCCTGAAGAATCAAAGAAGGAACAACCAACAAACATGGGAACCATCTGAGACCATCCTGAGCGAACAGGGAAGTTAAATGTCACAAGTGCACTCCAAGTCTTCTTGTCCCATCTTCCCTTCTTGGTATGTGTTCAGTAACAACAATGGTGTTGGAGCCTTCAGAGCATGGATTTTGTAGTAAGCAAAGTCAGGGATTTTTGAGAGAATTGAGGAACCACACAGAAGGCAAGTACCTCCCCATGGATAGTTCTTTCATCTATGGGAATGTCCCTCTTTCCTGAGATACATGTACTCACAGATTTTAAGTGTTTTTTGAAGCCAGAGGGCAGACTCACATCTGCTGCCACAGGACACAAACCCAGCTCCATGCCTTTTCTGAAGAAAAAAAAAAAAAGGAATTCTACAAAATCAGGCTCCAGAGTTTAACCAGATTTAACAGATTATGATCGCAGAGAGGAGAACATATGCACAAGAAAGAACTTCTGGATCAAGCTTGCATAAATACGCCTCAGGGAGTGAGTGGGTGTATGAGTCAAGTGAAAGATACCAAGAACAAAGGTGAAATTTTCTTTTCTGTGGCTGCTGAGTGTTCTCAGTTCAAAGGTGGTGGGAGAGCTGATGTCCACCTTTATGAATCTTTAAAAGTCTTGATATGAAAGTTTTGATGTGACTTGCAGAGCTGTCAGGTCATTTGAAAAGAGTAACTAGTACCAAAATGTGAAATGAGAGTTTCGCGCAGCTGCTGATTAGGTGAATCTATTTCCCCAATCATCCATCCAATATTCCAATTAAACCTCGAGCCAAAATTCATGAGGCAAGTTTCATTATACTGGTGATGCCTAACTTGGAATTGGCATCCTGTTGTAGTCATGATGGTGGGATGGGTAGGAGGCTGAAAGATGAACTAATAGCACTTCATTTTGATGAAATATCAAAGTATGTTGGAAGGTCACCTTGTGTTGTATAATTATACTTTCAGAAGAATTTAAATTCTTGCTTCAGCCCTTAGTGAATTTGAGACAGCAGCAATGATGGGAAAAACCTTCCTTAAAAATCCCAAGAATTGTACTTGTTCTGGCATGACACTGCCTAAGGTGATTTGCAAACAAGGCTGCCATTGCCAGGCTTTCACATTAATGCAAGGTTCAGCATACATTTTAAAACATTAAATCAGCTTTCCATTTGCATAGATATGATTATTTGAATGTGTAGATTTTATTAGTTTAAAGGGCCCCAATAATCTAATGCTGGAGCTGAAATTAAATATTCAAAGTAACTGTATGTTAATAATTTCAAGCAGTAGTTCCAAAAAATGTGTTAGGTTGCAGTACTGCTTGACTTTGGAAGATATGGAGTGTGTCTGCTGCCACAAGCAATGCTAGGATTGTAGCTATTGAATGTTTTGAAAGTCAGGCTCAAAGCTTAGGGCAGAAGTAGATGCTCTTGCCTAAGTGTGTTAAGCTTTGGGTTTTTATAGAAGCTAGTATTGCTATGTACCTTAAAGATTAAACCCAGAAATCCCGAAGTATGAGTTGCAGTTGCAGTTGTCAAAGTGGCTACAGTTAGTGAATACCATGTGTACCTGGGAAGCAAAACATCCCATTATTTATGATTTATTCACAATCAAAATAAATAAAGACCTTTAAGGACAAGTAACAGGCTACCACATTTTATATCATCAGATCAAATCTCACGTCAGATGGTTTCAAATCAGATTTGATTAAATTGTTCTCTCAATGTCCCTGCACAAAGCAGTTTGGCGTATAAGTTGATATGACATGACCTGAATGGCAGCACACAAGAAGGAGGCAAAATGCATGTTTAGTTCATCAAAGAACAGCATGTCTGCCAGTTCACTGCTTTTTCTTGATGGCCCAGATTTCTGCAGAGATTGTTATGTCTAAGAAATGTCACAGTGCTCTGTGTCCACTTACTCTATTTGGAATGGCCCCACAAGACACGCGGTGACATGGAGCTCTGGTGCCTTTGTGAGAGTGTCAAGATGGAAAGTGCCACTTCTCAGTTTTAACTCACGGTTAGCAAAAGGACATCCAGATCCTACACCTGCTCCTGCATATGGGCAGTGAGATGGGAGGGACCATAGCTGACTACTCCTTGTTCTCCCATCTAGATGGGAGATATCTATGAAAAGCAGCAGTGAAATGATGCCTTTGGCTGTCACAGGTGTCAAGGACTTGTATCAGACAGAGGAGAGGAGTATGTGGAGGGAGACGGGAGAATGGGTGTTCCTCCATAACCAAAGGCTGCCAGTGAAAGCAGGGGGTTATGCACTGTCTGTCATGTCACTGTGTTTCAGCTGAACAGTTCTAAAAACTGTAACCATGAGTTTACAACATGCTCTGTACTTAGAGATCCAGAGGAGAGGGCAGCCTGGCCATCAGTCAACCCAAGATATTACCTCAGTTTGCAGTGTGTGTGTCGTGTTTCTTGGAGTAATCTATCATTTGTTGAACCAAAGTGGTACACGACATCTGTGGCCTGATCTTCATAGGTCCTTCATTCTTGGCTGGATCCTTATTAATCTGTCAGTAAAATGTTGGAATATCTTGGGAGTTTCAACATAAAATCGCACTGTTTTTCAGCACAAAGCTGGCAGTACAGCCATACTGCTGTACAAATCAGAATTTCATATTTTACATTGGCATTGTGGGGTGATAGCATCTTATACATGAAAATATTTTAAATTGCACTTTGAAAAGAAAAAGTGTGTCTGAAAGTATTTTTAGTCATTGTTTTGGGGTTTTTTTCTTGAAAACCTTTGGACATTCAGCCTAACAATTTGTTTCTTTCCTGAATGTATCTTTATTTATGCAGCAGAAGTATTCCTCTACTTCAAGGTAAATTCTGTACTGTTTCACACCCCATTGTTACAGACCTTCATGAATCCATTGTCATTTATTTGACTCCTTAAACCTAGGAGCACATTTCCAATATACAGTACGCAAGAAATGTAATTTTCAGTTTATATTCATAATAATTAATCTCTAATGTTATTATGTTTTAATGAATTGCATGACATTCACTGTTCTTGTCTCTCTTAGCAGCTATTTTAGTGTTCTTTGTAATGAAAACTATTTTGTTAATGATAAAATTCATGAGACAGTATTAGGTGAGGGAAAATTATGTCATTCATGCAAAAAGGCACAATTAAATTTCCAAAAGTAGTGTATTCAAAAATACGTCTAATCTGTCCCCTTTTGTTATCAGTTTTAGTACAAAGTTGAAAGGTTCACTTGCAGACTGGATAAAGCCTGGAAGCAGAAGATATGAAGTCTCAAAAAACCCCCACGTTTTCACCCTCCATTGGCAACTGTCAATGACATATATAAATTTACATTAATTAAAGCAAGTCATATCCTAAAAACATTTCTTTATTTTTTCAGACCACTCTTCCGTGGAAATTCAGATGTTGATCAACTAGGAAAAATCTTTGAGTAAGTAATAACTAATTGCCTTATGTCAGTATCTGTTTAACATTGAAACCCTATGAGATTTCTTTGCCATGTCTTTATGCAATAATGTGACTACAGCAAAGTATTCCTAGGACATATTTCCTATTGTTATGGCATGTAACATGATATTTCTGTGTATTCTGTATCAGAGTGGAAGGAGGAAGCAACATGGAATATAGTTCTGCGAAACTGATAGCTATCATCAGGAAGTTAGGAGACTTCTGGGTTTGGGCATCTTGAGTCTCTTAAACATACTGTGCATGTATCATTCATACATATTCATAAACAGTTAAGTCCAAGAGAATCTCTTAATGTAAACAAGCACAGAGGGGGTTTTTTGTTGTTTATTTCTTTGTGCATTGCAGAAAACAACTTTAGAATATATTAAAAGCTGAAATCTCTAAGACCATTACCCACATCTTTTTTGCAGAAATTACTTCTAAACATAAAAAAAATATGTTAGCTTTTAAAATATATTGTGTAGCCTGTTAGCAGTCCTCATTACCCACATCATTTTTGCAGAAATGACTTCTAAACATAAAAAATATGTTAGCTTTTAAAATATATTGTGTAGCCTGTTAGCAGTCCATGTTTTGGTCTGGAAGGTGACTGTGAGAACTGAGAGAATATCAGCATTTTAACATGTGTTTTCTCAGAGAGGATATTGCTTTATTTTAAAACCATTTTACAGTTCTAGGAGTTTGTGTTTTTCAGATACATCAAATATGTTAAAGAGGCAGGTAGACTCTAAACTCTTTGAGGTGGAATATTTCTCATCCAAAATTCAGTTATTGATATTACCAATATGATAATTAAGTAAAATTATATTATTTTCTTGTAAAAGCTCTTCAGACTAAGGAACATTTTTGTCTTTTTAAGACAATGATGTACATATCATGTAGTTAGGAGATCAAAACCTCGCAGAGCTGGTACCAATTCAGAGAACAAATGCCTCTTTGCCTCCACATCTCTGTCTTCCCTTTCTGTGTGGAGGGACTGCAGGGATCCAGGGATCTGGATGAAATAAGAAGTAGATACTGCAGAGAGAGGGTGAAAAGTATTATTCCAGAATGTTATTTTCTTGAAGATATTCCAAAGAGAAGATAGTAAAATTTCTAAGAAAAGCTTAAACTGAACAAATAATGAATTTCTCTGCTTAACCATTTTTCCAGTCCTCAAATCATAACAGATCTGTTTCTAAACATTTTCATTATTCAGTGTGGGGTTTCTAAATTGCAGGTCTTGATTTCACAGAGTTGACTTCCCTTTCCTGCATACCATACCATGAGTATGTGACTCACTTGTGTGGTTAATTTGTCATGCGCTAAATAGCTCTTCCTGCCCAATCCAGAAAAATCAGTCCTTAAAGTTTACTTTTTTTTTCCTTCTGCCAAAACTACTTTAGTCCTACAATATTCTGCTTTGTTAAATGAAGACAGTTTTGATACATACAACATACTTTACAATTTAAAAAGACATAGCTGTGATTTCTTTCATTTGTGATATTTAAGGAGAAAATGAAAATTAACTGGGCTAGGATTAAATGCATAGCAGCTAGTGGCAGCCTCCAACAGGGATCTTTCCATCCCTAGGGGCTGAGATTACCTGTGCAGAAAAGAATTCACTCAGAAAAGAAAATGCTGTGCTAAATTTAGAAGAAATTCCTTATTGCACATCTACTTAAAGAGAAAGTTTGAGTTTGCTTCTTTTGCACAGTTCTTCCTAAATAGTTGAGAAGTTTCTGTCTTGGATTCTGAGGGGTTATGCCAAATAGTGTTTATTTCTTGTTTTGACAGCTGGAGAACCCCCTACAGTTAGGCCTAGCTCTTCTTGTAGGAGGGTTGTTTCTTTCTACAGTAGTGACTCATTCTAGAGATCAATTTGGACAGAAGGAAGTTTTCAGGATTTTCCTGCAGTCTGAACTGATGTATTCATTCAGATGATGGGGCTGTGGTCTGCTTTTGCTTTGCATGTGCATTGTGATTTGTGTCAGTAAAATTCCACTGTGTATGAGGGTAAATCCCTCATACATGGCTCGAAACATTTTCTTGCTTTTCCGGGACACCACCAGCTTGTGGCATATCCTCACAGATTTCAGGCTGAACTGCGATGGTTTGAACAGGCTTGTCTCCCATTGTGATCAATGGGAGTGGAAAGTACTCAGCATTTCTCAAGACCAGGCCTGAACCTTTGGCAGGAGGTGAAACTTCCCCAAGCTACTCCCAAACTTAGTCACTGAAATGGTGATGCTACCAGACCATTACAGCGGGAGCAGATCCTCAGGCATTCATTATTAAGGGGCTTTGAGTACTACATGTGTGTAACTAAAAGTATCTCTCCTTTGCACTCTGTCTTGTCCAGCCCACCCCTCTCTGGCAGGCTGCCTCCTGGTTTCTTGTCATTAGCTTTGCCTGTGCCTGTGTTTATTCTGTCCCATTCCTGCTCTGCCATGCAATCTTACAAAACAGTAGGACTAATCAAACATATTTGAATGACAGGTTAAATGTCATTGCTATTTAAAATACTTAACTCTCCCATCCTTGACTCTATTTGTATTATATTTAATATGGGGCCAGATCCTGAAATATCTAATCAAAAGGCTTGAACTGCCATGGCCAAGGAGGCTGTCCCATAGCCACCCTGCACCTGATAAATGGCAAGTGTGGTTTCTCACACAGATTCAGCTTAGCATTTCCCAAGAGCTGTGATATGTCCAGGTCTAGAAGGATTTAATTGTCCTTAGATTGCAATTGTTTGCCCTTCCAACCATGCTGTTATTTTGAGGACATATTAATTTTGAGAGGTATTTTAGGTGAGCCAAATTACAAGTAAAAATTCACACAGGTAGAGGTAGGGTAATTCCATTATGTTCGCAGAGGTAACCTATGATTTACCTCCATGTGGCTGGCCCACAGCCTCACCCAGTCTTGTGACAAACTCAGTGAGAAAAAAGGTCAATGCTGCTCCCTAGTGGCACTGGCCTTTGTGCAAGCCCAAGTATTCAGTGACATTGTTTCTCTGTTCTTTCTTGTCTTACCCTGTCAGTGTTTCCAGTGAAAATACCAATTTTACAGGTTATAAAATTTCTATTCCCTGAAATCAAACAAGTAATTTATGATCTTTTCCAGAATTTCCATCAGAAACTGGTTTTCAACCTCATGACTATCAACATCAGACTAAAATGTGAAATGTATGAGACATAATTCATTGTTGGTGGTTTACCTATTTAATTTATTTAAGTTTTAGAACTCAGCATGATTATTTCATAAGTATAAATATCTTCTATAATTAAAGACTAAAGAAATAAAATACTTAAATAAATGAAAATACTCTTTTAAAGAGTAAAGAAAAACTAAACTACAATTTAAAGCAAAACCACAAAGACACTCAAGTGCCTTTCCACTTCTAAATTGAGACTTTAAAACCTGTATTGTGAAGCAAATAAATTGTTTAAATTTGAGCAACAATTACTGCACACAGCTTTGAAGCATTATGAAACATCCCTTTTATTGCCTTACCCTCATCTTGACCCACACTTTTCTCTCAGTCCCTATTCTTGTGAAAAAAGATCCTTGCACGCAATTCCCCTTTGAAACTTACTGCTTTTAATCATCCTGGAGTGACATATGTTGCACCATCCAGTCAAAAGCTAAGCAACTTTTTTCTAAAGCACTCATCCTTTTTTTTCAATAAAAAGACTCAGAAAACTGAGGCTTAGGCCAGAAAATTGTGCTACCCACAAAATTATTTCAGTCAAGCACTTTGAGGGCCTATATTTATCAGCTTCTATTCACAGACATTATTGCTCTGCTACTAATTGTAAAGTTAAACATTTAAGCTCATTTAAACTGAAATACTTATAAAATGCCACTCATTGTAATCAATATGAAGGGAAAACTGCATAAATGTTCAGACCTAACATTATGTTTTTCATTTCACAGTGTAATTGGACTCCCAGAAGAAGAGGACTGGCCTAATGATGTTGCCCTTCCAAGAAATGCTTTTACTTCCAGACCCGCACAACCTATTGAGAAATTTGTACCAGACATTGATGAAGTAGGCAAAGACTTGCTTCTTGTGAGTTTCCATCTGTTGTTCCCTACCTCACATGACCAATGGCTCCCACTGTGCATGCAACTTAAATGAAGTTTCCATTTAATGGAGTTAGTAAAAAAAGGTCAAAAATAGATAAGACAATTTGTGTTAATCTGTGAAACAACAGCACAAAGACACTGCCTTTGGCTCTCAGAATAGCTCAAGATTAGGAAACTAGGTCAGGGACGTATCTGTTGGACCTGGTGTTAGACCTGATGATTAGATCCTCATTACTGACCTTTGCAGTGCCACTGATGCAGCCATCCTTACAATATTGGCCTGATGTGAGAACAGAAATGGATCTACCATTTTTGTGCCACAGTGGACCCAGTAGAAAATGGGAAGTAGACTGCAGTGGCAGATTACATCTGCTAGCCTTCTTCTCAATGCTTAAAACTTTACACTTGGAATTCACCAATTATTGCCTCTTGCAAAAGGCAAGGCTGAACAGAAGCAAAAGAATTGGGCTGGTACAGCTGTTTCCATCATTGTTATAGATACGTTAGAAATCCCAGTCCTGAAATTTAATCTTGAAATGGAATATAGGGAATGACCTTGCATCAGTTTGCTTCATGCTGTGCTTGTTGAAATCTAGTTAGATTTGTTCTCTGGAAGTCTTCTAAAGATCTTGATTCATGTGAGCTAGGTAGAGTGCAATTCTTGACAGACTTGGTGCATCTCTTCCGGAGCTGCTGTCTCTGGCCAAGGTTATCTCAGCTCCAGATGGTCCTGCAGTGTCCTCATGATGGCAGCTCCCAGCTGCAGAGAGCTGGACTGCATCTGGCCATTTGAAATGACAAGGGAGAAACACTGCTGTGAGAAAAAATCTCTTGTGCTTGCAGACAGCCTGGAAGTGGAAGCTAGATATGGGACAAGAATTAGGTTCTAGGAACAAGAAGGAATAATATTTATTATAGAGAGCTCAGTGAGTGTGAGGCATGATGGGGGGAAGAAGATTAATATCTGTGCCTAGAAGGTGAGGTAGGAAAGAGATCTGTTCCTGCTAGGCAAAGAGATGATAATTGGGAGTCACAGATGAAAGGGGAGAGTAGAACTGGAAGTCACTGAATTACATTTCAGGAGTGAAATGATAGAAGTTCTGATACAAGAAAAGAAAGTAGGGCTAGGAATTGGTTAGACAAGAGCAGTAGGAAGAATAATACATTCTTTATGAATGTCATAAAGAACAAGGTATAAATGCAAGGCTTGGGGTAGAGATTTCAGTGCTGGCTGGACAAAGACTGGGATACAGATCAGGAAGGAGGGCCATCAAAGTGCAGCTAGGAAGATGAGGGAGAAACTGAACACACAACATAAGCAGATGAAGGCTGTCCTCTGCATGTGAGTTCAAGAAAACATGTATTCTGGGATTTCATAAACTGTGACTACTTGAATTTTCTAGCATGTAATTTTTGAGCTGGTCATACTCTTATACTGTGAGCCCACTGCTTGTTTTAATATGGATGGTCATTGTGCACCACCTTCTGAGACCTTGTTGTGTCTCATATTGATCATAAACTGAAGGTGGTATGCATTAATGTATGTATGCAATGATAGCACTGTTAACTGTACATTGTAGTTAAAACTAACTTCTTTTCATACTTTCAGAAATGCTTAGCGTTCAACCCAGCCAAAAGAATATCTGCATATGTTGCCCTCTCTCACCCATATTTCCATGATCTGGAGAAGTTAAAGGAGAATCTGGACTGTCACGTGTCATCCAGCCAAAACTCCAGTGAGGTGAATGCATCATAAGTGCTGACTGAAGATGAACCATAAATGAACAAGACATGTAGCTGACAAGGCCACTGTCCCATGCAAACCACATAGCTGTCCTAGCAAGATCATTATTTGGAGGTTTTATGCACTTATCTTTTATTTTGGGATTGTGATGTGCTTATCCATGGAAATCAATCTAGTTTACTTTTATCAGAGCAATGCAAGGGCCAGGGCTTCGACCTGCTCCTGTTGCAGCTTTATGTTTGTTTTGGTTTTGTTTTGTTTATCTACCTGGGAAAACTCCAGACGAAGAGAAGCTGCTGACCAGTTTTGCTGCCATTTTATCCTTCTAATATTGAATGCTGCCAGTGTTTGATGATCGAGTCACTGCCAAAATATGATGCAACCTCTCTCTCTCTCTAGCTGCTGAAGCATGATTTGGTACTTTATTATTGTTATTCTGTGATCTTTAAAGAATGGCATTGAAATACCAGATCTCTGCAACCTGCAGTTAACTGATACATGCATTAATACATCCAGCTACTGTTCACTCATAGCAGATATGCAGGTGCTTCCCCACTTGAAAACCTGGATGAATTAATTTATCATTTTGTTGCTCTATAAAAATAACAGTGATGATGATGATCATAATAAATGTCTCAGCTTTTAGGTTTTTTCATACACAAACGAGTTATTATCTAGCTATGTTTGTGTGCATGTTTCAAAAAACTGTCCTGTTCTTACTATTTCGGTTTCCAAATGGTCTTTCTGTGTTGAAATGCAGACACGTTTAGTCCATCATCTAACCCATCATTCCCCTCTGGAAACAGCTGCAAGCATATTTTCTTCATCTCATTCCAAATAATTTTCTGATGTCCAGCTCAAAGACATGAGCAGAGCCAATGAAAATCAATACAGATTTTCACCTTCAACCTGTTCTCATTGTCAGCCAAAAACAAAAATAGAAGAAATATTTCTAGTTCAGAAGCAAGAGAATCCTATACCTGTAATAAGCGCAGAGCAGTTTTTGTGCTTCTGTACTCTGTATACTGTGCTGCCTTACCTGCAATACCCCCCAATGCATCACAAGTGCATGAACATTAATGCTCAAAATCCCTCACATGTCACTTACTAAGCAGGCTTGTTTTCTATGCAGAAATGCATGACCTTGTCTCCTAAACCACCATGTGGGGATACTAGCACATGCCTCTCCACTAAGGTTAATGTGCCATTATTGAATGTCAAAATAACTAAGCAATTTACTTGTCTTTATAGCACAGTTATTTTAAATATTACCTGAAATTTTTATATTTAGTGTTTTTACCTTAACTAAAATATATTTTCAGTATTTTGAAAAGAAACTTTTATTTTTTTAATACTGTACTGGGGAAAAAGAAATATTTTAAATCCATAAAATCTGTTCTCTAGCTGTTCAGTGCATTTACTTGGGCATGACTTGGGGGAAAATATTGGTCCAATGAGTATAACTGATGCTAAGTGAGGCAGCCAGCTTTGCTTACTCCTGTGACAGTCCCTTAGGCTTCTCTCTTCGTCATGTCTATTTCATCTTGTCTAGGTGGTGAGCCAGCATTATATCCTTGTGCATGGCATGCTTGGCAGAAGCAGGTCCTTAGCAGTGAGTTGGGCAATGTAACTTTTCCAGCTGTGACAGGGAACTTGCAGCCATCTCACGGGCAGGTCTCTCACTCCTGTGGCAAACTTCACTGTTAACTCCGTTTCAGGTATCTGTGCTCTCTGGGTCATGGTCCTCTGCTAGGATAGTACATGGGTCTTATCTGTCTCCTGGATAAAGCTTTTTGTTACTGTTAGACATTTCAGTGTGTGATACATGGTTAAATTAGGTTTACTTTAAACAAGCCAGATTTTAAAAGGACCACTTGCATGCTTGCATGCAGTGGCCTGTGCTTTTCTTTAAACCCAAAATGAGCCTATGCAAAACTTAACCAGCATGCACAGGCAAGTTGCAAATTAGGCCTGGAAAGAGCATGCACAAAGCATCTGCACACAGAGATATCACAGATCTGTAACGTCAGAATTTCGGAAGCTCTGTGAGCAGGAAGCTGAAGGCCAGGAAGCTGTCACAGCAGCAAACCTTCTAATCTTGGCCTTGCCTTTGTCATTCTCTTTGTTCCTACACCCAAAGGGAACTGCAGACCTACTGCACTGGTGTTGTCCAAACCCTATTCCTGTATGGGTTGGTGGACCCAAGTGTGAATAATTTTTAAAATTCACAGAGAAGGATAGGCCAGAGTGAATTTTTTGCTAGAGGTTTTTAAACACTAAGTAGAACAAAAAACAGAGCAAAAAGTCTGGAGACTCTTGCAACATAGTAATTAGAAAAGTGTTTTACTGAGTTTAGCACTTTTGAAAACATTCCACATTTTAAGTAGCATGGAGCTATCTGTCACACATACCTTATCAGGGCATTCAGCTGGTGTGCCTTCCCAGCAACTGCTCAGGGAACTCTCCCAGAGCTCTCCACCAACTAATACAGGGTGAAAATATAGAGGAGGAGATGATATTTTCCAAATTAGGCTTAAAACTCGCAGATAGAAATGTGCATCTGTTCCATGTAAGAATCTGTTCTATTAAGCTTAGCAAAGCTAAAGAATAGAGGATATGGTTGCTGAATGTAGATACATTATTAGGGTAAAAACAGAAAGGAGCAGAGAGAATACCTAAAGCCAAAGGTTAGTGTTGGCCCAAAAACTAATGAGAATGTGGAAATCACCAGGAATTTAACTACTGGAGCAGTATTTCCCAATCATAGTATCAAAGAGCTAAGCAGCAGAGAAAAACAGGGGCTGGCTTATGGAGTCAGAGGCAGAGCTTCTGCAACATGGTGCTGTATGTTGTCTAATATAGTAGGATCAGGTTATAAATGAGAGTATTCAGGAGAACAGTTTGCAAAGGGCTGCATTAATGGTCACATTCTGGAACATCTTTCCAGTGGGAATGGCAGGAACAAAACCAAGAAATCTAAGAATCTTGGCAGGGTTAGGGAAAATATTTCTCTAATGGGGTCCTTGTGGTAGCAAGGGCCTGGATTCAAAGGACCAACAATTTTTCAAATTACCTCCTTTTCCAAATCTCTTCAGGAAGAAATTCCATTTCACATGCCATAGGCTTAATCATATTCCAGTCTTCCCTGCCAAACCATGTGGGGCTTCACTTACACTAGTAAACTGAGAAAGCCTGTTCTCTGGCTGGGCAAAGCACTGTCGTTGGCTAATACCATGCCAGGAATCATATTTATAATTAGACAGCACAGACAGCTATGGGACTGTGCTCAAACCCATGCCCTTGCTCTTCTTATGTTACTGGTATAGCTCTAATATTTTAGTACCTTTACTCATTACTGCCATATGTGTAGGATGTAGGAATTGTGTAAGTGAAAAAGAAAGTGCTGTGTTGAAAACTCTTTGTACACCTTTAACGAAGACTTCAGAGTGCAATTCTTCTTAGTGATATCTAAACCTGTATGTGTTCTCTTCTGCAGGAGTGGTTCAACAGCAGCTAAAAAATGCTGAATAACAAAAGATGTGTTAAGTACAGCTCCTAGAACACCCACAGCCAGGCACTGTGCTCTTCTTAGCAGAGAACAGGGTGTTCTAAGTAATGGAAGGAGAAATTTCTATCTCACACCAACCTTTTTTTTTTTCTTTTCAATCACTACTACATAACTGCAGAAAAAAACAGACCCAATAGCCAAGGGAAAAAATCACCACGAGCAGCTAGTGAAGTGCTAATTGCTGAACCATCTGGTGCAGCCCTTTTCCCCCTGTCCACACTCACACCAGCCTTCCCGTTCACCTCCTTCAGCTCCCTTATGTAAACAGATTTCAGTGATGCTCACAGGTGCTATTTCCAGCAAGGTTCTTCCAAATTTTCCATAGCTAATGTCAATGTCCCCTCCATTCCTATTACTAAGTGTTGCTTCTTTTAGTCTCACAGCCTAAACCAGTGATGAGACAAGAAGTTTGTGCACCTCCTTGCTTAGGCTTAGTTTCATGTACCCTTCATGTACTAAGCTTAGGCTTAGTTTCATGTACACATTGCCTTCTGTGTGGTTAGTGTAATTCTAAAAATAGGATTTGTGCATATTTCTGTGTAGGCTGTGTCCACACTCCAGGTTTCTTTCAGCGTATTAGTCCACAGTGATGAATAAAAGAGCATCTTTCCCTGTTGTTTCTGTCCTAAAACATCAAAAAATGAGGGTGTCATGTTTGCAGAAGGAAAAAAGAAATGTAGGGCTATGTGTACAGAGCATTTTTAAAGAAAGGAATCACTAAATTGTAGCATTTGAACATCTTCTGCATGGGGGAGGGTTTCCAGCATGGTAACTCTTATTTGGTTGTTATACTCAGTGGTTACTTTGGTGAATAAGAAGAAAATATTGTGCCTTGCTGCTTTTCACAGGTTCACTCACTGTCTTTGAGAAGCATGTTTTATTATACATATAATTCTTTCTGCTGTTAGGTATTAAACCAACTTTAATGTGGAAAATAAAGTGAAAACATGCTGGTTTGGTCTTTCAGCCAGCAAACTAGGAGCACTTACCTGACTCAACTGAAAACACATCAGTTGTCAAATACATACATGAGTCAGAAACCACACAGTTCGGTTTAAAAGGCCACATAAATTAATTATGTTCCATGTATAAGACACATTTGAATAATGAGGAAGTTTATTCTAAGAACTGTTTTATAGAACCACTTGGCTAGTATTTTTCATATGCAGTAGGTTCAGGAATAGATTGACTTTTATATACAATGTGAATTAGAAGTTACTAGGCTATTTGAGTGATTTTGTTGTTTTGTGCTTGAAGCTTGAATTGATTGCAAGCTTAGGAACCTAACATATTTATTTTATTGCTTCAAAACTGCTTCTAAATATCAAGATCTATTCTGATGTTAACAGGATTTCACACTTTTTTTTTATGTGTAAATTATGTTCTTGAAATTAGTATGTTAGAAAAGGCATTTTTCCAAACTGCATTAGTGGGGGAAAATTTTAAGAAATTTATTTTTACTTTCACAGAGAGGTGGACTCTTCAGTAACTGACTATCAATAAGCTATACTTTTACTTCCTTTTAATTACTAAGCCTTGAGTATACAGGTTACTTTCAATGAAGAAAAAAATCAGACTCTCTAGAAAATTAAACGAGATTTTGTATGTTTAAGCTTCCAAGTTATATTTTCATATCCATTTTTTGTGCAAGTACAGTTCAGATGTACAAAAAGCATGACTACAGTTTTAGTAGTAACAGGCTGTACAACTCAAATTGAGGTTTTATTTGTGAGATGTTTATTTTACTTTATTATCTATCTGTGTCTTGCAAATTATTAGATAATGGCTGTAATACAATTCTAGTTTCTGGACTAGACTCTGTAACCATCAAATCTCAATAATTTGTGTAAAACAGAAAGAAGCTTTCTCATCGATTCTAATTAACTAGGCCATTAAAAGAAGAAAGATGTAGACATACAAACTGACAAATATACATTTGCCAAGTGTTGCTTCTTCCCTTTAGTTTGAAGCTTAGCAAGTATTGCATACTGATCTGCAATACATATACAATGTAAGAACCATAAAGACCACTTAAGAGTAGTGTGCACAAATAATATGAAAAATGGCTCATTAGACTCTTTGAGAAACCAGCTGAAAATCATTACTTTAGCTGTAACACTCAAAATCTTGAAACTCATACATTTTTCCATTAAAAAGTATTCCTGAAAAATTATGTGTATGTTTTTAATTCAGTGATAGGCACCCAAACAGAACTGAATCAAGTGGGAGCTTGTTCTCAAAAGTGATTTTTCCAGGCTGAGTAGATACCATCAGTTCTTCATGTACTCATCAGAAACTAAAATTAACCAGCACCATTCTTAGATGAGCCTTTTGCTTTCTGGGCAGAAAAACCCGAGGCTGCTGTTAGTAAAGTTAGTAGAAAATTGTCTTTGAGTTAAAAGTCCTGTGGAAGCTTCTGCAATATTCAGTTTTCCAGCTTTCATCAAAAGACTGTGCAAAACAGCAAAGATAAATCAAAACTCCTTAACCATATGGTCTTTTCACCTTCACATTACATATTTTGTCTGTTCTGGGATATATTGATGGGTTTTATCCAGCCCAATGTTAATGAGACTTTTGCAAGGCTAGAGAAAGTAAAAAGAACTTCTACTATTGTATTTTGATTGTTGGTGGTTGTGGTAGAGCAGATTATTTTTGTTTCCAGAAAGGGCCAGACAAAATATACTACCTTCTTTGAAAAAGAAGAAAAAAAAAAATAAAGGTGCCCACAAACAGCTGACACTTGGTAAAGATTAGAAAGGAGATTTTTAAGAAACTGTGAGAGATGTAAATGCAAGCAATGTGTATTAAATACACATTGAAACTGATACTTTTTCACTGACTTTGCAAAGTTGATAGGGTTTTATAGAAGAAAAGCATCCAAGTATGACTTTATTTGAACTACCACTTAAATGTTCATTTGCACTAAAGCAACCTGTACTGTTTGAAAGGAGATGGAAAAACACATCATGTTAAACTTGTGATTTACTTTGGTGCCTACAAGGATGTGTTGTAAAGCTCTCAAGCTCACTGTCCATTTTTGAGCAAGCCAAATTCTCATTCACACTATTTACTTTCTGCAAATACATCCACATGCCTGAAGAAACTACATTTTGTAGTGTTTACATGGATACTTGCTCACATTGACATGCTCATGTTAAATCCAGACAGGGGACAGTCTCTGCCACTGAATGGAAAATGAATTTTCACCGACTGACAAATTCCTTTGTACAATTACTCTTAAGGGTTTGAAATCAATGTTCAGTGATATGGAGCCCTTCATTTTATTCCATGTTTCACATGTGCATCATGTTATGCTAATTCTCAGCCTTTAAAAAAAAAAGTAAAACCCTATTTCTTTTATGGTAGGATTGATTTTGAGTAGCTAGGTGAAGGAAGAACATCATGATGTGATGGAAAGAGAAAAAAACGGGCAGAGAGCAGGAGAGTTGGCAAGTGAGTTTGACTACATGGAAGAGTTATTTATAAATATAATATAAACATAAGGGAAAGACTTTGTTCCAGTTGTTTTGTTTTCTCCTGTCATACAAGATGATAAAGCAAGACTCATGAACGGGATTTTGGTTTCAGATACTTATGCCAACTCAAGTCGTGAGTTACAGTGCACTTCTTCAACATAGCAACAGCTTTATTTTTTTCATTTTGCATAAGCTAGAGCTTTTTCTGGGTAGATATAAAAAAAAGTCTTGTGAGGGAGCTTGACAGCAGATTAAGCTGTCCACAGAGACAGTGCCTGTAGTTCAGCTGCAGACACTGGAGAATGTACAGCTCTGCCACAGGAGAACCACTGACAGTGTCTATTAGTGTGAAGTGTTCTGCATTAGAAGTTGACTCCTGCTGCAGAGTGAAAATCCTTTGGTCATCCAAAATGGCATGGTTTTGTACACTTGGATTTTGATGAGGCTATCCACATACAAGTTTTGCTGCATCAGTTCAGGTGGTTCACCATCTTACAGGAGCAAGTCTGAGGGCTTAGCAAGTGTGTCTGACACCCAGTGTAAATAATAATGCAAAATCATCTGCCGTGGGAAAAGAAAAGACTTTTTGTACGTTGTAGACTAGGAATGAGCTTTCTGAGCTGCTCTGCCAACTGGAGAGCTACTGTTAACTATTATTATGCCAGCTCCAAAAATGCAGAATAGGAAGCCTGCATGACACTTTGTTGTGTTCAGTCTGTGTGCATGGGTGGCAGGGTAAGTGCTGGCACAGAGTGACTAATTTTGGTCCTTCCATTAAGCATGAACAACTGGGCTTGGCACAGAGACAAACTTCACAGTTCCAGGGATGGGAAACCTCTAATTCTCCACAGTCGTTCTCTGGCTCTTGTTAAATACATATACTGGTAGACCACTCAGCCATTCAAGCAGTCCTTTCCTTATGCCAGATCATCCTTCTGTGACACTGTGAAGGAAGCCTTGAGGAGTCCATTCCTCAGCAGTTTTCCAGCTTTCCTGTTTCCTCTCACTGCAGCAGCAATTACCTCTCATTTGTATTTGACCCTGATGGTGCTTTCACTACCACTGAAGTAGCTGTGAGCTCAGTTACTGCCTTGTGACTCCAAGCTTCCAGTCTTGGCCAGCCAGTGATTTGTACTCTAGTTTTTCCTTGCTTCTCATTAGAAGCAGGGAAGTAGTACAGTAGAATATGGCAAAATGTGTGCTACTTTCACACTTTTTCATTCAAGCAAAGCAATGAGCTGGAATAGATTATATTGAACATAATGTTCAGTTGATCAGCAAAACCAATTTTGGATTCCGAAGATCATTGACTAAGTACAGAAGATCCCTGAACAACTGTCTGTGATGCACATTTGTACAAAAACACACAATGATGCTCCTCTTATACAGAAGCTTTTGATGGATACAAGACTAGAAGTGCCAGCCTCCAAGTGCCTGCTTACCCTGCTTCCCCTCACCTTCCCCAAGATCACTATTCCCAGGAAGAGAATTCCTCCCAGCATTGGGTGGAGCAACTGTGAAACAGTCCCCAGCTCTCGGGATAGGTTGTGTTCATGCAAGCTCATTCCTTCCCTTTTGGCTGTGGCAGTGTAAAGTACAGAGCTCTGCCACAAGTACTAGGCACAAAGAGACCTTAAACAACAAAATAGTCTCCTGAGGAAAAGTCTTCCCTGGATCTTAAGGGGATAGTATGTTTACTGTTTCTATGACAGTTGACTTCTACTTTTTGCATTTTAAACAGCAGTGATATAAGAACTCCCCTAAGGAAACTCCCACTACACAAAAGGGACGATACTGAATTGTGGGCATTCTGTGGGAAAAGACAAAATGTTGTATTCTGGGTAGATTATATGTATATCAAACAATCATCTTTCATCTGTGATAGAGAATAATCCACCAAAGTGGGATTAAAATGTAGCCTGACTCTGCAGCATGCTAGTTAAATAAGTGTTTTTCTAGCAAGGCCAAAACCCACCATGATTTCTTGCAGGGACTTTGAGTCCCTTTTAAGAAAGATGGCTGTAACCGTAGGTTGCACCTATAACAAAATGTACTTCAGAAATTGGATGCTGGGAAGACGTTTGTGGATGTGAGGCTGTAGAAGGTGGCTTATGTAAGCTCAGGGGGGATGTGCTTGTGTGAAAGTATTGGTTGCCATGCACATTTTGAACTGAAGTTATCTATCAGAACATAATCATGAGTGCAGTATCATGAGATTAGAGGTTTTTTCTCTTAGATGTGTAGCAACCCTGTGGCGTTCCAGCTCTGTTTTGTTTTGATTTGATTTATTTCACCTCTCCACTGCCATTCCCCTTTCTGTTGTGTGTAGTAAATTGAAAAGAAAAGCATTACCTTATAGTTTACCATTTCAAAAAGAGAGAAGGCCAGCAGTTGGAAAATCTTGATCACTGTGGTTGTCAATATTAAGGGAATCATAATGCTGAGTTGGAAGGGACCTGTCAGGATCATTGAGTCCAACTCCAAGAATCACACCATGGGCCTAAGAGTGTTGTCCAAATGTCTCTTGAACTCTCTCTGAACCAGGCTTGGTGCTGTGACCACTTCCCTGGGGAGTCTGTTCCAGTACCCAGTCACCCTCTGGGTGAAAAACCTCTTTTTGATATCCAACTTAAACCCTCCCCAGCTTAACTTTGAGTCCTGTCACTGGTCATGAGAGTGAAGTTGTTTAGTTCCAACAAACAGAATTCAACATCCACGGCATCTGCCTTTCATTAAGCGCTGTTAAAAACCTGTCATTCTCCATAGTGTTCAAAATCTCTTTGCCAGGAGTTTAAACTCCCTTCCTACAGCCCATTTGGAGTCACAGCAATGTGAGCAAACAAAGTTTACATTATGATGGTGCTTTTCAGTAAGAAGTGAGAGCCAGTTCCAGTTGACACATGGACTGAAAGAGTCTCAAGGACTCTTAGCCAGGCACCATTCATAGGCAAGGCAGTCCCTTCTGCTAGGGCAAGAAACAGATTTTAAAACACTTAAGATAGGGAAAATATGAAGATGCCATTTATTTTTCCAATAGAATCTGTTTTCTGCACAATGCTGTATCATTTTGGCACTGAAACCAAGACCGCAGATGAACATTGATTTGTTCCTTGCAGTCTTTAATTTCCTTATAAATTCTTTACAAGCATTCAGATTAATGTATTTATGGTCCATTTCATTCCAATTCATTTAAGTGGTCTATATCTGCCCTTGAATCTCATATGAATTGTATTGTTAATACAATATTTTGCTGCATTACTTTGAACAGCTTTAAAAATATAATGTCTTTGAATGCTCTAGTTAAAGAGAAATTACACCTTCAAAATGCTGTGTTACAAGTTGGAACTGTATACTTTGGAAGTGATGTTTATATTATAACGCCCAAATGCATCACAGGGTGCTTTCGTCTGTATGTCTGTCTTCTACTTTCTGTGTTACAGTGTGTATTTGTACTTCCTCACTAACTTGATACTCTTCAGTCAAAGGCCTAAATCTGCAAAGACATGAATACTATACCTCAACTGAGCAGAGCAGAGGGGGCTTACTCATGTGAGTGTAGTTGCTCACAAAGAGTATTTGCAGAAAAAGGCTTTCCTTTAGGAACTGACTGTAATTGTGAGGACACATGGTTAATAACAGCACCACGACACCAGTAAATAGGGTCTGTGTTTATTGAAAATGTGGACACATTTATCTTCAAGTTATTTGATGTTATTCTAAATTATTGTTATTATGATTTAGTATATTATTTTGTATGAAAACACATTAGTCCTGTGAAAGGGTAGTTGCAAAAAAATGTGTTGAGTCTTGCTGCTTTATTGTTTATTTGCATTTAGTATACATTTTGGTTGTTGAAGTGAAGCTAGCTTCTTAGAGAGGCAGGTAGATAGATCAGTCTGAAAAAATCATAAATAAGTGTCATACCGTGCATTGAGTTTTGCAATTAGAGTAGTATATGTGTTCAGATTTAGCAATTTTTATGCTTTACAGAATTTTTGTTTGTTTTAATATGTAAAGGAATAACCAGATTTCTTTGAAATGCTATTGTAGAGCTAATTTTACACATAGTGGGGAGATGTTGTCTGAAAAACTAAAATTAGAAAACATTACATAGGCTGCCTTTGGCTTTAGTTTGTTTGTAGAAGGCCCAGCAGGTATCTGTTGATTCCAGATGCTTAAGTCAGGGGTCAAGTTTGCGCAGCATCTTGTAACTGAAGAAAGTTTTCTGCAGTGATAAAGTTGCCTATCTGGGCTTGAAGTAAGATTGCTGTCTAAACAAAAGCATAGAGGCAGCAAATATAGGTGCTGGTTTGTTTGGGTGTTTTTTTGTGCATGGACAATTGCATGAATTAAGGTTGGAGATTCAAAGTATTTAAAATTATTTAGCATGATTTACTCTTGTTGTAATTCCACTGACTACAGTTAAACCGAGAATTTGGCCTTGTAAGTCTGCAAATTTCAGTGTCAGGCAGCTCAGGTCTATATAAAGATACTTAAGCTTAAGTAAATCAACAAGAATACTTTATAAATTGTAATGTGTGATAAAAATCTTAACTCTAGTTACATTATTTCTCTAAAAATTTCTGTTCATTGCTTTTTTTATATAAAAGGTCAGAATTGCATTTCTTAGTGGCATTGGGATATATGGAGAAAAGCAGGATGCTGGTACAGAAATGTATCAGAAATAAGATTCAGTTCTTGCTGCTCCATGTGTGCCTATCTTACATGTGACAAATCCCACTGAAGTTAACAGAAGTCATATAAAGTTAAGCCTGTTTGTAACTCTCATGAGATACTGGTTTAAGAATCTTCAAGATAAGTTATGTTCTCAAAAGGCATTATTAAACTTGTGGTTTCAGGTTTACAGTATACTATGAACAGTGACAACAGCTTCTGAGACACATCCAGAGTAATTTTATTAATTGATATTACACCAGACCAACGTGCATTAGCAAATCAAAATCTCTCTCAGTACCTTCATTTCTCATTAAAAAAAAAAAATCAGAAAGTTAAAATGGCCTCTGTGCTGTTTTGATTATTTCTTTTCTCTCTTTTTCCACCTTGTCACAAAATATCATTTTGCTCTGGAGTTGTCTAGGATTTGGTAATTCAAGGAAAGCATGCAAAGCAGTTTGGAAGATATTTCTTCATTCACCTTAGGGCATATATTCAGCTGGTGAAAATCAGCATAGTCCTGTTGACTTCTACAGCATTGTATCAGTCTATATCAGTGCAACAGTTGGCATGTCAGGTTTTAGCATTTCAAGTCACTTTACCTACATATGCAGTAGGATTCTGTTTTGCAAGATGGAAAGTTATACAGTGCAAACTGTACTACCTAGACTACCATTGATATCTATTCACAGGACATGATTTCACTGTATCATTTCATACTTGAAATTCATTATGTTCTTTTAATCAGGGTACAAACATGAAAAGGTGCGTGTGTTACTGTTTCTTTTAAAGGTGCATCATTTTTTTTTATTCTGTGTGCTTAATAGTTACTAGTCAGTGTTCTTTACATTCTTTGCATTCAGCATTTAAATCACCTATGTGTGAAATACAGTATCACCTGCAGAGGTACAGAAAAATGTAAGAGCGATTTCTTGAATTGTTAGTCAAATATACTGGTTTACCTTTTAGTCATCAATATGACATCAAGGGGCTACAGCATGTGAACTGTGGTATGTAGAAGTCTTGCACCATTGCTGTACAGGAAATCTTGCAGACTCTCTCCTCTTCTTGCACAGCTGCTGATTACCATATATGCATTGGGAAAAAGTATATTTCTGCTGTACAGAATGGCTGGGAAGTAACACAGACACTTTGGAAACTTTAGAGCTCCCTTTGCAAGCTTTCAAACAAAGCCCTTTGATCTAACTGCATGCCTGTTCTGTGTCCCAAATTTCACCCTATGGGGCTTTCTGCTTTAAGAACACCCTCAGCTGGGGCTACTTTATGTTGACTGCATTGAAGTTCATCGGAGCATGCACCTTACCGTATTAACATATTCTTTAGCTTTTACAAGTTTGTAAAGATGGTTGACTGCAAAACTAATGTGTCAATACAGCAGAATTAAATTAAGGCACACAGAAAGTTATCAATAATGTATTATATCAGAATTACAGTCCTTTGGAACTGAACGTTTTGCTGCTGGCAGTGCAAGAAAAGCAAAGATGTGTATTTATTGTTGGGTGCTGAGGGTTCAGTATGAAAATCAATATAATAAAAATTTTCACAGTGTCTAGTTCTCTATAGTTCCCAAACTATTGAAAAGTAAAAAGGCAAAAAATTAGTTTTGTATTTAAAACTGCTTCACCCTTCTAGTTATATTTTTCTTTTATCTAAAAAATGTAAAATGAATACAAATGCAGTAAGTATTGTATATTAAATACAGAAAATTAGCAGTGTTGGTTTCTAGTTTTTATGTTTCCAAGTGTTTTTCTCAACACCCTGTGTATTCTAGAAAATCAACAAACACACCACAACCGGACACAGAAACATAAGCACATGCACACCCTTTCCAGCACTATATACCAATTTTATAAAAATCTACCCCATTTTATCACAATTACTCCTTCCTAGGTATTTTGCTTACCTACAATGAATTCCATTTTAAAAAATTATAATCTAAGAGTTTATTTTTTCTTTCAAAAGCAAAACATTGCTGCAGTTGCCGGGGTTGCTGTATGATTTAGCAGTGATCTGCTTTTTACTGAAATATTTGTTTTGGTCTAGGGAAACTGTGCTTTAATTCAGCTATAATGGCTCTCATTTGTCCATGAAATGCACTATTTTTCCCAAACGTTACTTGATCCAAATGTTGTGCTAAATATGCATGGTATTTTTGTATTCCTTAAGATTCAGCTATTTTCATCTTCATCTTTTAAAGAGCTGAGCACACTTTATCGATTGACTGTTTTTTCTTGATTGGTTATTGTCATGGTTTGACACTGGCCAAATGCCAGGCACCCACGAAAGCTGTTTGCTTACCCTCTTCTGCTACAGTTGGGCAGAGGAGAGGGAAAAAAATTGACTCAGGGTTCATGAGTTGAGATAATGACTGGGAGAAAACACTCCAAGGGCAAAACAGGTTCATATTTCAAGGTATAAGGTAGATTTATTATTAACAGAATCAGAGGATGATAATGAGAAGCAAAATAAGCCTTTAAACCACCTTTTTTCTCCCCCATCCCTCCCTCCTTCCCACGGACAGCACAGGGAGACAGGGCCCGGGGGATTTTGTCAGTTTGTCACCAGAGATCTTTTTCTGTTCACTCAGGGAGAGAAGCCTTTCCTCTGCTGTGCCATCGGGTCCCTCCTGCTGATGCCTTGAGAGGCTGCCTAGAACAGAGGCTAGACAGTGTTAAAGGAATAAAGTAGGTATTTATTAAAAAGGCCTTCAGAGGATACAACTTGGGCAGTACAAGTGTCCATCCAAGGCTACACTCAAGGTGGATGATGGATCACACGTTTTCACACTTTTGTAAGTTTTGGTCCATTTACATATTGGGGTTAATTGTCCAATTACAGCTTCAAGTTACGAAGTACCATCCTCCTAGACTGCTCAATTTGCTGTTGTTTATACTTTTTAGGACTGAAGCTGCAACAGTGTCCTTGGTTCTTGGGCTAGAAAAGTATTGTTTTGTCCAAATAAACTGTAAAGAGAACTTTTTAACACATTATATGAAGTTCAGAATTATATACTAAGGCAGTATAGAATCTGGAAAACATGAAAGCTAAAACTTAAGGCATCACCATGGGAGACAGTTCTCCATGAACATCTCCAGCATGGCTTCAGTCTCACAAGCAGCAGTCTTCCTAAAACTGTTGCAATGTGAGTCCTTCCCACAGACAAACAGTCTTTTTGAAACTTGTGGCATGGGTCACACATCCACAGGGTGCAGTCCTCTAAGGGTAGGCTGTTCTAGTTTGGAAGCAAACTTTTTAACACATTATATGAAGTTCAGAATTATATACTAAGGCAGTATAGAATCTGGAAAACATGAAAGCTAAAACTTAAGGCATCACCATGGGAGACATTTCTGCATGAACATCTCCAGCATGGCTTCATTCTCACAAGCAGCAGTCTTCCCAAAACTGTGAGTCCTTCCCACAGACAAACAGTCTTTTTGAAACTTGTGGCATGGGTCACACATCCACAGGGTGCAGTCCTCTAAGGGTAGGCTGTTCTAGTTTGGAAGCAAGAGCCCTCTCTCTCTATCTCTGGAAGCAGGGGCGCCGTCTCCATTCGAGTCTCCCACTGGATCACACCTTTCTCTGGCGTCCACCCACTCCGGTGTGAGTGCTTTTCTCATGGGCTGAGTGGATTTCTGCATCCTCCATGGACCTCCTGGGATGCAGGGGGACAGCCTGTGTCACCATGGTCCTCACCATGGCCTGCAGAGGAATCTCAGCTCCGGCACTTGGAGCACCTCCTGCCCTTCTTTCCCCACTGACCTTGGTGCTGCCATGTTGTTTTCCCTCACATGTCCTCACTTCCTCGTCTTCTCTGACTAGAAGAACAACTGCTGCCTGTAGGTACCATTGTCAACAAGTTCCACCAGTTGAAAGATTCCTGCAGCATCCTGCAGCTCTGAGAGGTCGATCTCACCCAGGTCCGTGCCAGAGAGTTCCTCACTATGTTTTCACTGCCAGCCAGGCAGCCCTGCCACAGCACTGGTGCCATTTGAGGTCTCCCTTTGTGCCCTTCTGTCTGCAGCACAGCTGGCTAGGGGTGACCAGGCAGGCAGGGCTCACTGTGGGCCACCCTGAGATGGCCCCAGCAGCAGACTTCACCACCCCTGGGAAAAAACTACCCAGCCCTGTTTTGATTTTCTTCTTAAATATGTCATCACAGAGGCGTTACCAGCCTCTCTAATTGGGCCAGCAGCATGTCCATCTTCAGTGCCATCACAGACTGACTCTCAGACATAGTGGAAGCTTCTAGCAGCTTCTCAGAGAAGCCACTTCAGTGGCCCTTCCCACCAAAAACCAGTCTGTGCCAAATCAACACAGCTATAAATATGACTAGTAACACTTCTGGGTATATAGATATTATAAAAGTAGATGTTTTGAGTCAAACACAAAATGACTTATCATGCTCCAAAACAAGCTGCATTTTTTCTGGTTTTACTTCAACCAAAAAATCCTCATCAAAATACCTCAAATACAGCTTCAGCTGATTGTGACATTCATTAAGTTCTCTTCAGAGCAGGATACAAGTATCTTCTACTAATGCGGCCTCCAATGAGCCACGAGATCCAGGAATCTAAAAACTATCAGCTGAAGCATTCAATGAGATGACAGCTTCTGGATGAAAGCTGACACAGGGACAGAAATGACTGCAAAGCTAATCAACGGATTTTCAACTTAGAATCAAAACTTTGTGCTGCCCTTAGAAACCTGAAGGAACTATGGAAGTCTTTTACAAGCATCAGTTACATAAACAGCAGGCACAACACAGACAAATAAAAAGCTACCTTTACATTATGTGACTCTCCAAATTAGTCTTTAAGCACATTATAAGATTATGAGCAGAAGTCCAGCCGGGGACAGACACAATGTGAACTGCAGTGAGGCCAGAGTCACAAATGTCTACATTAGCCATAGCTAATTGTGGGGAAAAAAGGGGAAAATAAGGGAAATACATAGCATCACATAAAAGCTTCTATAGGCATTTGGATACTGTCTGGTGCTTCATCACTGATAGTGCTCACAGCAAGACGCCACAGAAGAAAATCCAACAGTCTATTAACAATTATGGAACAAATTCTTCACATGCAAATTTTCTTCCTGGCCTTCATCTGTGAGAAGGTGAGTTCCTAAGACCCAATTATGGAAAAGAAAATTATAGTAAAAAAAAAAAATCCTCTAAGCAAAATAATAAGGAAGGAAAGTATTCGAAGGTGGGAAAAAGCACAAATGTTACTTTTCCCATTACCCACATATAAGTTATTTCACTCTGCCTCAAAATCATCTAATGTCACTAGGTATCACATCTGATAGCACCACAGAAAAAAATGTTAACTTAAAAATAATTTTAAATGTATTGTCTTTGTCTATCATTTGCCTGGTATTTGCTGAAAAAGGAAAGTAAGATTTTTACATTATCTGTATGAATTCTCATTTTGAACTCATCAGTTGTGTTGCTCCTCCACCTCCCTCCCATCCCTTTGATAAACAAGGTCATCTTTTAGTCTCCTAGCACACAGAAGTCCTTTCCCTAAGTATTTTCATCCATTTTTAGAAATCTGGCTTGTCTGGCTAGACTTTCAAGCCTTCCCAGCTTGAATTAAATTCCCAGTCTAATTAAAATACTGTGGAGTGCCTAGCCCAGGGAGGAAAAGCTAATTGGGGTCTAATTAAAATACTGTGGAGTGCCTAGCAGAGGACTCCCTCCTCCCCAGTGCCTGCATAGGGAGGGACCCTGCACCCCTCCTTTCCTGTCGTTCTATTTCCAGGCACCAGGCTCAAAGCCTCGCAGCACAAAGCGTGGCATGAATAAACACTTTTAGCTCAACTTTGGTCAAAACATTTCTGAAGAGTCATTCTGTCTGGGCAGATTTGACACAGCCCGGGCATTACCTCTGCTGCTTCAGCTGAGCCGAAGCCCCCGGAGCCCCACAGCTGTGCCAGCACGGGGACACACAGACAGCTCTGGGGACACAGACAGCATGGGGACACACAGCTCTGGGGACACAGCACGGGGACACGACACACAGACAGCTCTGCTCCAACTTGGGCCACCCTTGAGCCTCCCAGGGCTGCCACAGCACTGGGGACACGTGTGCAGTGCCATGGGGCAGCCACCTGAAACGGGGGTAACTCCAGAATGGTCCAAATCTGAACATGCATTTGGGGCAAGGACTTCTCCATGCATCACAAAAAGGATATTATAATAGACTTAATAGTACTCCTAATCTCATTTTGTATGTATTTTAATGCAATTTATTTCTTTAGCTTTCAATGTATTTCTCCAGTGTTGCAAGGCAGCTCAGGGAGAACTTCTGCCTGGTGTATTTCCAAAGTAGCCATCCTTGTTTTAGAACAGACCAGCTGTTTTCTGAGGAATAAAATTTCCCTTTTGCACTATCTTGCAATTTTAAGCACTAAATTTAATTTGCAACTGAACAAATTTTACTTGCAAATCTAGTATAGTCACTTTCTTAGTTTTCTTCTAGTTCCTCACAGGCTGCTCTTGGTTTTACTAAGCAATTTGGTATCACAAATTCCTGTGGGCTCACCAATTTTTCCAGCTCTTCCCAAGTATGAAGACAGCAAAGCTATTTCAGTAACAAAACTCATTTGTGCTTGCTATGATTAACGTATTAACATGTGATTACCTTTCTCCATTTTTACAAAGCTGTGACTAATATGCTGTAATTTTTAATGGTAATGCTTTGAGAAAAGGACATTTGAAATTCTGAGTTAATAGATCCCAATAACTCCCGGGCTTGTCTTAGCACTTCCATTAACCTCATGTACTATTAACCCTGCCGATATTACAACGCTTTATTTTGCAGTGTAGATGGCTAACAAGGGATGAGTACACACCTTTTTTTTCCCCTCTCTTTTTCTTATCTCCCCCTCCCGCCGAAATAGGGTCTAATTCTATGTCAGGATAGGCTGCTGTTTCATAATACCTCAGTCTGTGCTTCTACCGAAGGCAAAAGGAGAAGCGAACGCTGCGGTTCCCTCTGTGACTGACCACCAGATGGATCAAGAGGAGACAAACCTCTCACTGCGAAATCCTGCCCTCTCCTGGGAGGCAGATTCCAGACGAGAGCCCCAGGACACAAGTGAGCGTTTACATCTCAGGGCTCCCCTCAGGGCCAGCCCCTGCTCCTCCTTCCAAGGCTGCTCCTCGGCAGACGGGAGACGTGGAGCTCCTGGAGCGGCTCCAGCGAAGGGCCACAAAGAGCATCTCTCTTAGGAGAAAAGGCTGAGCGAGCTGGACCTATTCAGCCTCAAGGAGATACTGAGAGGGGACCCCATTAATGTGTATAAATATCTGAAATGGGGGTGCCAAGAGGATGAATCCAGGCTCTCCTCAGTGGTTCCAAGCAATAGGACAAGAGGGAACGGACAGAAGCTGATGCACAGGAAGTTTCTCCTGAATATGAGCAAGAAATTTCCTATGCAGGTGACCGAGCGCTGGAACAGATTGTCCAGAGAGGGTGTGTGGAGTCTCCCTCTTTGGAGATATTCAAGAACCTGGACACAATCCTCTGTCATGTGCTCTAAGACGACCCTGCTTAATGAGGGAGGTTGGGCCAGAGGACCCACTGTGGCCCTTCCCATACTGTGTGTCTGTCCCATACTGTGATTCCGTGTCTCCCCACCGCCCCACCCGAAGTCCTGCAGTAACACTGCCCTGCCCTGCCCTGCCCTTCCCGGCCCTGCCCTTCCCGGTCCCCGCGCTGCCGGGGCCGCTCTGGGCGGAGCGGGGCGGAGCGGAGCCGCGCGGCCCCGGCAGGCGGCGCTGTGTGCCCGCCGCCATCGCCGCTCGCGGCGCGCGGCGGGCCGGAGGCTGCCGAGGGCCGGGACCGGGGTCCGGCCGCGCCTGGGGCGACAAAGGCGGGCCGTGCCCTGCGCCTCGGCCCGCCCGGCCCGGCCCCCCGGGACCTGCCGGAGCCCCGTGTGGGTGGGTTGTCCCTCCCTCGGCACGTGTTGGAGGCTCCCTGGCAGGACCTCTGATTGCCTTGTCAAATCCTGCAGCATCGTGACTGACGCCTGCTTTGTGATCTGTCGAGGAAAGGTGGTTAAGATGCTGGCCTGGTCCGTACAAAAATAAAATGTTCCCAATGGGAGTTGATGCAGTCTTTGAAGTAGCTCTGATTCTAGCTAAGCCGCATTTCCTTAAACTTGGCGTTCAGCTGTACCTGAGAGATCTGAAATTGAGCTTTACGCAGCGGGCACAAAATGCTTCTACACACCTGACTGCAGAGCCTGAGCTCGTGCACAACTGAAACACATTCATCCTTCCTCCTACTTTTCTTTAAATGTTTTTGTACCAGTTAGCCTTTCACCTTTTACTCGTAACCACTTAAACATTGTATGCTGCTGAATTTTAAGACTAAACACAAATCATAATACTTTAATTATTTCCCTTTCTCTGTTTCTTTCTTGTATATGCTATGAGTTCATAGTCAGAACCATTCACACTGCAAACCGTGGTGGAATAGTATAGTAATAGATTTGAAGGACTCAGATACCATTTAGATAGATGGCAAAGTCCCTTTTATTGCTTTGTTGACCTATCAAAAGAAATCTGAGTCTACTAAAAGCTGACAGTGTATTAGACTTCAAGACTGGTTCTGTGGTTGAAATGTCCTGTAGGGTTTTCAGGTATTTATTTATTCTTAATTTTCTTTTAATGGGACAGCTGGGGTGTACCTGCCAATGCCAGCAAATCTTTATGTCCCTGTATAAGATTTATTATGCCATCTTGGCATAATACATAGCACAGACAGGTTATAATACAGGACCCTTTGCTCCTCGTGTATGATCATAGAGATTTCTACTGTTATTCTGTGCCATGTCCCTGCTTAAATACACCATTGTTTTTGACTTTCTGGAGATGGAAAATAAACATGTTTTTTGCACATCTGCAGGGTACTTGCAAGGCAGCAATAGTATTGCTTGCCCAGAGAGCCCTGCCTGACAGAAGGTGCCTTACACTTCTCATGAGCAAGGAATCTATACAGCAAATACCTTGATTAATACCTGCCTGAGCAAACTACCAAAAGAAGAAAATGAATGTGCAGACAATCACTTTCTTTATTGAGGGTGCATTTCCATGCTCCTTTTGTCTGGTGACATGAAGTTTGGCAAAGTAGTGTAAATACTTTTCAGAAATGTTTATTGGTGAAGTAATTCTTCATAAACAAACCTGGTTGAAATTATAAGAACATGTCTTAAGACATAAATTTCCTAAGCCTGGAATATAGAGCAGTACACAGTCATTAAGTACTTGCTGTGGTAAAGTTAAAGCCAATGAAAGGAGGATGCTTCCTAGCCAGTTATCCAGGGGCAGTTTGGGCAAGTAGAAAATAAGCATTTGATAGCTGTAGCTTCTTCAACAGGTAAAGAGTTTTGTTGGGAAGTGGTGAGGTGTTCATGACTTGTTAGCTCAGGTAGGAAAGTAGCTTATTTTCATTTAAGAGCAGCAAGAGACCCCTTTTCTTTTTTTTGTTTTTAAATAATTGCATAAGAAGAGCTTTCAGATACAAATTTTTGAATGGTAACCAAAAGTCAGTTTGCTCACTGGAGTAACCCAAGTTTCTAGTGGATTTAATGCATTGAAACTTTCACTTTCTTTAGTGAAAACAGTTCAGATAGCGTTGTCCTGCATTCCTAAAGGAGCTCCTTTTCCACTCAAAGCTGAACTCAACTATTCATTTTTAGATTTGTCATGTGAATGCCAAAATGTTGTAACACATGTGAGATATCTACTTGAGTGCATACTTCCATCTGCTACTTGTTTCAATTGGCACACCTCCTTGTTTATTTGCCATGTTAGTTAGCCTTTTTGTGTGAATTAAAGCAACAAAGCAAAGCCCCAAGAAGTGGCAGTAAATGTCCCCTTAGAGTTGGAAAGTCAACTTGAGTCTCAAAATGCTCTGCTTGAAAGAGCTCTTGGATTGCTTCAGAGTGGTCCAGCTGGTGAATCTGAGCTAAACTTGTGTGGGCAGCGCTTCTTCCAGCCAGATTCCTCATCCCAGGCAGAGCCTGGAGTGCCTCTTCCAGGACCAAATGTGTCCCCAGGAGCTGAAGGCCACCAGCCTGCTTGCAGTCCAGAAACCCAGCACTGCTGTGGTCACTGCTTCTGCAGTGGGAGCAACAGGAGGGGAGGCAGCAGCTGCTGCTTCTGACAGCTTTCACAAATGCTCACTTACGGTGCATGGTGGTTTCTGAATGCCTGATAAAAAGCAGCGTTGGACATGTGGGAGCTACACAGATGGCCAGATCTTTGCTTTGGATCTACAAAATGTACTCTTAAAAATTGTCTCAGATTAGGCAACCAAAGCAAGTCTTCTTTTTGGATGTTTGATCTTTTTCCTCGTCTCCAAACTGAACAGTAAGAACAGTGTGTGTTATGTTCTGCAGAAGTAAAGTGTTGGGATGACGCAGTGATAAAATAAATGAGATAAGGGGGTATATGTACCTCCTTTTCACATGAAAAAAATATTGCTGGCATAAAAAAAATATAGAAGAGTTTTTCCATTAACTCGTGAGGTGGATTATGAATTGCAAATTTTAATTTAATCTTTTGTAACACAAAGAGGATGCATAGGTTTGAAAGATGGAATACCTCATAACATTGGGATTATGTATGTTTGGGTTTTGTGAGTTTTTCCTCCTTTAAATAGCCCTAAGTCACAGCATTTTGTTACATGTATAATTGTAGCAAAGTACCACTGCTTGCTTGTTTTGGTGCAAGAAATTTTATGCAGAATTTAGTGACTCCTGTCAGCAATTTTGAACAGAACTTTAAAGGCATAGGATCAGTGGACTCAGAGGGGGAGAGCTGAAATTTAATTACATTTTCTATATCCCAAGGAAGAATATTTCAGAAAACACGGTACTATTCTCGTTTACAAAATCATTGCTTAAGGAAGGGAATTGTTGGAAGGAACATTGTTGGTCTTTTTGTGGATCAGTTCTTTCTGCCACAGTATGACTACAACTGAAAGCACTCACCTGAGTCTTTCTGCCAGACTGAATAAACTTAGTTTAGCTAAATCTTCTATATTCTTAGAAACAAGTCAGAATTATTTTTTCAGGGAGTGATAAAAAGTTTATGTGAAGAACAAACAAGATATTTTGGTATCATAGTGTAACTGATGAATTTGGTATTTCTTTTTTGTATTTCAAGGCTTATATGAATCCCATAGCTATGGCCAGGGCACGAGGTCCTGCCCCAAATTCAGGACCAACAATACAGGACTACTTGAACAGGCCAAGACCAACATGGTAAGTGGCACCGCCTGTCTGCCTTTTTGACTTCTTCAGCAAAAGATTTGTTCTCTCTTACTAAAATGTCACTGGTGCTTACCTCATTTTGAAATGTATATTTCTCATCAGTCTGTATTTTTTTGGCAACAGTTCCTCTGAAGAGGAAAATATCATTTTAGCTCTTGCTCAAATTGTAATACCTAAACCTTGTAGATATATTTAATTTGTAAACAAATTAATCTCTAAAAGAACCATTTTGCTAGTATCTTCTTAGAATCCCGTTTACCCTACCCAACAAAACCATCACGTGGAGATATTATCAACAACTTACTTTATGTTCAATCCCTTTCCCTACCCTCATGAGACATTAGAGAACAATTTACCTAATTGCAAAGTTAGCTTTAGATCTTTTGGAGGGATTTAACAACCGTACTTAAGTTATTAGGGTTAGGTTACCATATGTGTAACATCTAAGATGCTTTCATTCTTCTCTTGGAAGTTCAACCAAGGCTAAACTTAAAAAAAAAAAAACTACAGAAAAGTTAGACATTGACAAAGGTATTTTTCATTGTAAAATTGTGATCTGTCATCCTTTTCATACAGGGAAGAAGTGAAAGAGCAACTAGAAAAGAAAAAGAAAGGATCCAGGGCTTTGGCTGAGTTTGAAGAAAAGATGAATGAGGTTGGTAGTGTTATTAGCTGTTAATACATGATTCTTTTAATCTAACAAGCTACTTCTATTACCATTTACAATATCAATTAGCCATAATATTTCACTTCACTTGAACTTTTAATGAGTAACTATTTTGTTTCATTTATGTTGAGTTTACAATTTAACCAGTGAAGAGCTACTTTCAGTTTGGAGAAAAAGCCTATATAAAACATTTTTTAGATTGCTGTGAATCAAATCTGACCTTGTCACAAATGTAAATGCATTTATACAAATGCATGTGCTTAAATCAATAAATTAAACAGTGCATTTTCAGGTATGATAAATCAAAGTCTGCTGTTCTAATATTCACTTGTTAAGGTCACGGAATCCAAGTAAAGTGAAAAAAAGTGCATTACTGGAAACAGATGTCTTTGGCAAGGAATATACATGTAATATTATTATGGGAGAAAGCACAAAGAATGGCTTTCAGTCAGATAGGACTATGAAGCACTTGTTTTTCTCTCATCCTAAGCTGATTACAGCATGTGCTGGTTTCCTGATATAAATGCAGCTGTTCTGATGTTTATGTTCTTTACCTACTGAAGATCAGCGCTGTATTAGAAAGTTTCACATGTAACTCCTGTTGTATACAAGGGAGAAATTAGTATACAATGAATTTATTTTGTTTCTGTTCCTTCTTGGGTCCTGGTATCTTGAGATAAGCTTCAGTAATCTTTATCATTGCGTGTAAGTTTCTGGTTGGAGTAGATTATGCTCCTCTGTTATTGGGAGGGCATAGTACCCATAGTACTCTTGTTGTACCTTTTTGCTTGAAAGTTGTACCAGAATGTGGAGAGCCATGGGGTGCTGTTCTGAGAGGATCAGTTGTTTTGTGCTCTGAGTTTTAGCTGGGTGAGTTCGGTTTAGTATTCTATAATATTCCTTACCTGATTTTATCTTTGCTTAATGTGAAATAAGTGAAATTGGCATGCATCAAGCTACCAAACTTTGAGTATGGTAGCAGGGTAGGAAGGGATGCAGGTAATCGTGAAATGGCCATGAGTTATTCCTGAAGCTCCTAAGAACAAATCTCTGAATGCCTGAAAACATCACAAGTCTCTGAATGAGGTGTTGTATTTTACTGACAGTTGTTGGACATTTCTATTTAAAATGTAACACTAGCACAGTCTTCAAAATAATGAGGCACGGGCTGTTGTGAGAGACCTGTCAGAGAGCTCAGGGTACTTGGTATATCAAAGTGCACAGCCCACAGATGCTGCCTTGGTCCATGGAAGCACATCACACACAGCACTGCTTCCTGGCTCATCTGCCATGTCCCTCAGCAGCTCCGTTCAGCTAATTCTCAGTGTGCTGATGTGGGGATCTGTGTATCATCCTGCATTGCACAGGTTATTTGACTCCTGATATTTCTGTCCCCTCAGCACAACATGTGGATCATCATTGTTTTGCCAATACAGTACCAATACAGCTGCATTGTGAGGATCAGAATGGTAGAGAAGGGGGCACATGATTTGTCTGACAGTGAGATTGAACCTAGCAGCCTTTAAGTTTCATGGGGGCAGGTTGGATATTTCAGAGCTCTTTAAGAGGACATTTTAGGTAAACCTAGAGACCAGGTGGGGAATTGAAAAGGAGGAATGAGAGGAGATTTTTATTCATTCATTTGGTGTGCTTGGCCTAACAAAATAAGAGTGTTTCTATGAAGATGTGTGTAGTAATATTGCTGACACCAACAAGGTCCAGAATACACAAAAGAGACACCTATGTTGAAGAAGGGCCAGGAGAAGTTGTCTTGAAGTTTTGTTTCAGGTGATTTTTAGACTAAGATAAAATCACAGTTTTTCTGGTAAGGTACCCTAGTTTTCTAAAGTGCTCTAGCAAGAAGACTGTGATAGAAAAGCAAAAATACCATAATTGATGACCTTCAAGATAAATGGCAATCTCTTAAAGCCAAATAACTTGAACATTAACATTATCATTAAGACTGTATTTGCTAAATAATAATCTTCTGTAAAATCAATTGTATTACACAGCTTTAGTTAAAATTATATATTGTTTATTTTCTTTTAGTTAAGAAATGGGTTTTGTTAAAATTATAATGTCAGGTAGAGGTGAGCTTAAAAAATACTGCTCAGGAATGACCCTCGTGTTACTGTTTCTGTTTTGTTTTCAGAATTGGAGGAAAGAGCTGGAAAAACACAGGGAGAAATTACTGGGTGGAAATGAGAGCTCCTCCAAAAAAAAAGAGGTAAGTTGTTTTCAGTTGTATACTTTCTGTGTTTGGAACTGGATTTATCATCAATGCTGCCAACAAGAATTTTGTGAATACATTTTAAAAGCCAGCATCAAAGTTAATAAACCTAAATGCATGCCAAAAGAAAATTATGCTAATGTAATTTGTTTTGTTCTATTTTTAAGAAAAAGAAAAAAGAAAAGAAGAAATCTAATAGGGTGAGCAAAATTTTCAGTTTTCGGAGCTTTTCTGCTTTGGGGTTGTACCTGTTTGTCATTTAAGTTCTCCTGGAAAGAGAAAGTATAGCTGTAATTTTGATTTTAGATGATAAATTAACTTTTATTTAGAAAGGGTTTGCATATATGTGGTACAAGGAAAATTAAAGGGAGGAAAAGAGCATTAAATAAATATTATTAAAAGAAAACCATTAGAAGTGGTTTAGAAGTTTATTTAAGAAAAATATATCTAAGACCAGCTTCTCAGAAGTAAAATTGTATTCTTATGCTTTGAAAATGAAGACATTTTAAAGGGAGTGTTTGAATAGGCTTTTGAGTATTTGCCAGACAAAATGCTGCATCTCACAAGCTTCACTTTTTGTTGTATTTGGTCAAGTTGTCTTCATCTTCCTCTTCTTCATCAAGCTCTGATTCTTCCAGCAGTTCATCTGATTCAGAAGATGAGGTAAGAGCTAACCTACTGGAATCTGTCATGCTTTGTTCATGAGGTTTATTTAACACAGATTTTGATAATATGTTTTAGAATATTTTGAGGGGCTGGTTTGGATAAAACTATTTAGTTTTTATTAATTTGCTGGATATAATAAAGTCATGAATTTTAGACATTTGTATCTAGTTAATAGTTTCTGTATAAACACTACAGATTTTGGCATCCTGGCTTGTAAACTGGATCCATTTTAACACTGAATTTTTTTTCTAATAGAGTCCCCTATCTAATCATAAAAATGCAAAAATACCATTTTTACTTTCTAGCAAAAATCTCTGTTACAGATAATCAGATCCTATAGCATACATCTAAATAATAAACAGAATCTAGAGAACCTGGATTTTTCACCAGTTTATGTTTTTTCAATGCAGAAGAGTTATAGAGGTCCTCCAATAAAAGAATCAATTGTAGTGTACTTTATTCCTCATGAGAACATTGTAACATGTAGGAATTTGATGTTTCCTTTTCTTTACATTTAATGTAAATCTTTAATTCTAGTGAGAATAAATTCAAGTTTGTGTTTTTCCTTCTTTTTTTACAATATTTATGGATAGGATAAAAAGCAAGGGAAGAAAAGAAGGAAGAAGAAGTATCGCTCCTCACGGAAATCTTCAGCAAGCACAACTTCAGAGTCTGAGTCAGACAGCAAGGTAAATATGCAGATATGTTGCTCTTGGAAAGTTTTCTTGGTTGGTGTTGCAAAACCATAAAGATTTCTGACTTTAACATATTAATATGGTTTTCATCTTCCACATTTAAAGCCATGTATTCTCACAGGGCCTGAGCTGCATTTGTATCTTCCACAGTGTTGCAGTGTGGAATCTGCCTCCACTGGCCACATGCCTAGTGGAAGTAATTGGATCTTTAAAAAATGAACGTGCTTTAATTCCAGCAATTTGTAGCCATTTTTCTGAATCCAGACATATGCAGCTTTTTTGTTGCTCTAATAATTAGTTTTTATACTTCATTAATACTTAAAATGTCTTCTGAATATTCAATTCACCATATCTGAAAATGCAGGTATTGCTGGATAGCAGTGGCCAGAACATTGCCTTTCTAAATATTTGAGTAGTTTCCTGTTGGACAGCTGAGCCTTTCCCAAATGCATATTAAATTGAAGTTGTCTTTTTCCTTTTCTGAAGTATAGCAATGTAAACACGTGGGCTTACCAAATGAACAAAAAAGTGAAGATACACAAGGCAGCTTGTTCTGTTATGTTAGTATTTTTCTGTCTTACAGTGTATAGTTACTGTACTTCTTGCTTAAGTATTAATAATACAGTGAGTTTTTAAGATTCTCTGTGTAGACTTTATCACAGGCTTTCACTGCAGTACCTCATTTGGTGGTATGTAAATTGTAATGAATGACTATGTGCAGACACCTGAATGGATTTGTGCTAACGGGAGGTTAAAAACTTCTGCTACATAAAGGGACCCAGAGATACCCTTACTGCAAAAAACTCTGGGAAAACATCTGCTTAACCTGGTCTGATCAGCAGAGACGCACATGAATAACGAAGAAAGATTCCCAACTGTTACATGTTATACATGGTTACAGCAGTGATAGCTGGTATCCTTCCCAGAGATTTCTCTAAGTGTCCTGCAAAGATGCTGTCACCTCATTCCATACAAACCTTCTCATGCTGCTGGATCAGGAGATTAGCAGCTGCATCAAAATTACAGCTTTCTTCTTCAGTCTTCTTTCTACTGCAAGGTAGAAAGGAAAATCTTGAAGAATTACCTTCAACAGACATAAAAAGACTATAGGTCAGATTACTTGGAGATTTCTTCCTTTTCCATGACATGATTTTGTTGTGATTTGTTTTCCTTTCTGTTTAGGATAGCACAAAAAAGAAGAGGTCAAAGGAGGACTGTGAAAAAGAGAAGGTATTTTTATTCTTTGAATCCTTTGATCAGAACTGCATGTTGCATACATAATGGATATTTCTTTTTTTAATATTGAATGCCTCACTTTACATCTGTGGAAATTTTCTCTCCAAACCCACACAGTCAAAAGGTATTCAGTGCACCCAGTTTGAATTTTTAAAGAGGTTTAGTTGGATTCAGCTCCTGGTTTAATAATTATTGTAGTGAAAACCACTGGATCTGTTCTTGTTACAAAGGTAAATAAAAACTGTATCTAATCTGCTACAGCAGTTCAGCTGCATCCCTAGTGTTTTGGGGCTTACCTTTAGCTGTTACATTGAGCTGAAAATGTGTGTGGTGATATTTTCAGTGGCACACTTGGTAGGTTATTGACTTGCTACTGTAAATTAAAAAACATGAGCAGAGGATCTCTTTATCTAAATGTAGTCATAATTATAGATACTTCTGACAGCTTTGAAGAACTGGGGAGAAAAATATATTAGCTTAAGGAAAATCACCTTATTCTGTCATTTCTCTAAGCATGAAAATCCTCTCTCCTGCCCACCACCACGCCATTTTGTACACTCATCCATTATCTTTAACATAAACAATCTAATTGACTTAAATTTTAGTTGTTCATACATTGTGGATATGTAAACTAAAAATGCTTTCAGAGTCCACCCTAGTCTTTCTCTCCAGTTACCTTTCTTATCATGTTGGCCTCTCCTGCTCTGGTCAGTAGTATTGATGTTGATGTACAAACTCTCCATTGCCTAAGGCAAATGTACTGATTTTTCCCCCCTTGCTCCTGCTTCTGTGTCCATTTCCCATGTCATCTTTATGAATGGCTTCTCTTTGAAGACCAAGTATCTACCACTGTCCCTTGTTGTAGTCCTACTTTCACACATCCTTTGGAAGCAAAGGGTACTTGGGGACTAGAGGTCTTTCTTCCCCTACCTGCAGATCCCCCATGTGTCAGATGGGCTGCATCCTGTACTTGGTCATGAGATCTTTTCAGAAGTTTCTTGTCTTAGAAACTGATTGAGAGAAAGTACCTTCAGTCCTAGGAACACATTGCCTTGTCTACAGCAAAGGAAGTGCAGGGAGCAGAAAAGGATCTCATCAGAACAATCTTACACAGCATCAGGATTTTAAAAAACCTGTCTTTTAAATGCACTAGAGTGAAATATGATATGTTGAAAGTACAGCTGGCAGGAACAGCTTGTTCTGGTTCAACACGAATGCAGAGGGAGATTTTTCTTTCATGAACAAAGCAAGAGTCTGAAACTAAAGTGTTTGTATGTATATATTGAGACACCTTCAGTTACTAGTTACTTTAAAGTGGTGAAATATTTTATTTTCCAATACTTACTCCTCCATGTGTTATTTAAAAGAAGAGAATGTTATTATTCCTCTCGCTTTTAGACAGTTGCTGTATCTTGGTAACAAGAAAAAGGAATATACAGGAAATTATTATTTTCACTAAAAGTTGATCGTAACAGTTTGGTAGGGTAATTTGATGATGATGATGGAATTAGTTTAATGTCAATAATATTTTAAAATACTTCACAACTTAGAAGTGATATTTCAGTCTTAAATTTTAAGCAGAAATTTTATAAAATGTGAAAGATCTGACTTTACTCACAAATGTATTACTTTGTGTAGGAAGGTAAAAATCACCACAGGAAAAGGAAGAAAGCAGATCGTGGTGATGGACCTTTATCGTCAGAATCTGTGTCTGAATCGGATCAGACAGAAGAGGTCAGTGTGAATCCTCAGTTTCAGATGTTACAGTGCTTGTACCTTAGTGATTCATGAGTGAATCAATCAATCATTAGCTTAGATTTAATACATTGTTGAAACTGTTCAGCAATGTACAAGTGAATCGAAGAGTGCAGTGCACTCAAAGTTGTTTGTATTTTTCCTTTTAAAATAAACTTTTAAGGATTGTTTAGTCTAGCTTCTATCACCTGCAAGTAATTTTGAATTAATTTTCTTGAGAATCAACTTTTTATGGATACTACATTTGGTTTCATTTTCTTTAGGTGCAAGCAAAAAAGAAGAAAAGCAATGAGGAAAAAGAGAAAACTGCAAGTATCCCTCTTACTCATACTGTAGTTTTAGGATATAATACTCTGTACTTGGTTAATTTCCAGTTTCACATTTTTCACTAATACAAATGTTTCATAGCAGTAGTCTACTGTTACATCTAAATTAAGTTTCTCTATTTACTTGCTGAAGTCACTTTTTCAATAGTTGAATTAAAGAAGAATTTGTCACTCTTTTGCCTATATGTGATTTGAGATTTATACAAATTTAACACTGTAGAACATATTTTATTCTGTATTAGTGTCCTAGAACTACTAATACCTGTGTGGTATCAAGTAGGGGAGCAGTTTGCCACACAGACATCAGGGCTTTTCCTTCATTAGCATTGTGTGTAATTCCTTGCTAAGCCTTCTCTGCCACCATGGAAAGGGCCTTAGGACAAAATTGCTGCAGCATCTGTGCCATTATAACTCTTCTCCCAACCAGATAAAAAGCTGTCAGCAACCTGCTACTTTTCTCAATATTTTTTTCTTTGTATCTCTTGGTGAAAGTGAGAGGAAGGTTCAGCAGTGATTTATGTGGAATCCAGATTTACCACATGTACCTGAGGTTCCTCAGTGAGGAGTACAGTGGGTTTGGGATCCTAAACGCCCACCTGAGATGTCTTTGTATTTGTCTCCCCTGTCAGCAGCAGTGTTCCTTACCAGGCATCTCAGTTGTCCACATGAGGTAGGGCAAACCGAAGGTCTGCATTAGTCACCTAGAATACAGGCATAGGATTATCAGTGATACTCAGTACACATTTCTCCATGGAACTTGCTTGTTTTTTCAGACTCATATGAACCATTTGCCATATCATTTCTAGTGATTGCTTATGGTCTTTTTCATAAAATATTTGCATGTGTAAGGAATATGTATAAAACAAAGCTTTAATACTGATTGTTTAATTTATGCAATACCACACCTATTTGAGAATTTCAGTTGAAATTCTGCTTTCAAAAAGACAAGATTGCATCTCTGAGCTTCTGTATTACAGTGATCAGAGTACTACCTTTAGGACTGAGTCCAGTAGGGTTAATTTGATTGTATGTATATATACAGCTGAGATCATAATTGTTTTATGTTAAACAAGGTACACGTGATAGTCTAGCCAAGTGTAGTTGAGCTGTTTAATTTTACACAGTGAATTTAAGTGCTTACTTTAAAAGCTGTAAAGATCCTAGTTATTCCCAAATCTGTCACTACTGGTCAGCACTTCCTTATTACTTTCTCAGTAATCTAATGTTCTGAAAATAATTTAAAATATTAGGAAATGTCATAGTGACAGTGATCAGGGGTGTAAAATAGCCATACCATGGTGGAGATAAATTTAAACTGAAGACTGCTCATAATAGTGCAAATTGCCAAGTAAAGTATTTCTTTTTCTGATTTCTCAATAGGCTTCTGTAGAAATCTCTTTTGAAATGTCTTTCAAAAGATATCCTTTCTGGGCTCTCATTTTGCATTAGCAGAATGTAATAGACAACAATTTTATTATACAATAACTTTGGTTTTTTGGGGTTTTTTTGTTTCTTTTTAGGATAAAACAAAAAAGAGAAAGAAGCACAAGAAACATGGTAAAAAGAAGAAAAAGAAGACTGCTGGTTCAAATTCAGATTCAGAATAATATTTTAAAACAACCGGAGACTATCAACAGAAGTGCAATGACTAAAGGAAACTTAAACTGTGAAATGACAGCAAACTTTACCAAACTGCATGAGTTTTCCTGTGTTTTAGAAATGTTCCTAATCTTTCAGTAGCCAGCCAGATGCAGCTGTGCTGGGAAAGGCCGTTGTTATTGCCTGCTGCTTAATACACGAGGTACAACTTTGATAAGATTCCAGTAAGCAGTGTTAGATGTTTGAGACAATATGAGATGGTAGGCCACCTGAGGTGTAAAATATTGGAAAATAAGAGTTAAACCTTTTAGATAGTAAAAATAGTCTTTTAAAGCATTAGTAAAAGTCTTTATTTGTAAATCAGGACAAATTAAATCCCAAGTTCATCCTGCAGGTTAACATTATGCATAAACTACAAGCTGGTGTCTGCTAATGGAAAATTAATGATAACATTTAAAAGGCTGCCTTTGTAGAAATGTGTATCATCTGCCCCATTACCGTCTCCATGCTTATGAGAAAGGGAATGCTACCATTTTGGCTACCTGAATAGGGTGCCTTTTGCCTTTGATTCTCGCAAATCTTTGCTACTTTTAATCCATGCATCTCTGCATTCCTGGGAAGCTAGAGCTATTGCCAGCAGACTTTTCTGAATGAGCAGTTTTGAGCTTCCAAGCATGTGCTTCTGCATTAAGCAAGAGCAATGACATTTTGCAGTATAACTGACAGTCAAAACCTGAAGATTTTACCTCTGCTTTTTCAAAATAGTGATAGACCTTTGCTAGTAAATATGCGCATTTCATTTAATGTAATTTTGGTTTAATTGAAAACTTCTTGCAAACACTGGTAGCTTTCTTTGCATTATCTTTAGAATTGTTTTGCATGATTTGTACCATTTTTAAATTAACAAAATGCAGGTTATCATTTGTTGTAACCAGTTCTATGAATTACGTTTCACATGAAGATTTTCATGTATGTATTTAGTTATAGTTAAGTTCATTGCTGTGTTTAAGTGCACACTTGCTGAAGTTATTTAGCATGTAAAAAGCAAGGTTTTGATACCTTAACAGCTTCATATTGAAGCTGATTTTACTCTGAGCAAGTTCAGTGGCAGATCTGTTATGTGATGTGTCTTGTTAGATAAAAAAACTACTGCCAGAATCTCATTAAAGATACTGTTTAAACAGTTTGTATTTATATTTTTGTACTTGAGGGCTACAGAATGTTGACCTAACTCATAAAGCTGTTTTACTTTAGTTTAGTTGCTTTAGATAACTGAAAAAAAAGCTTTTTTTAATTAAATGTGCCCACAAGAAAACATGAGCAACCATTTGATTTTAGTTTACATTAAATTCTCACTACATCTTCCATTGAAATACTGATTGCTGGACCTTCTGTTAGCCTTTAACAAATGCCCATCCATCCCAGGTAGTCAAATATAGATTGTATTTTTGATCTACCCCTTTTTTCCATTGCACAGGTGCTAACTTAGAACTTACCTCTATTGCATACGGATGTTTCAAATGTTGTGTTGCCAAGAATTTCAGGACTTTCAAGACATTGATTATTAGTCTGCAAACCATAACTAAAATCTGTGGGAGAAAGGTAATTTCATATTGCCATTGTAAAGAGAAATTGTCTTCAAGTTCTTGGGAGAATACAACCATTGAGTTGCAGCAATGTGCATCTAAACAATAGTAATATTTTCATCAACTATTTTATACTCTTGGGCTTGATGTTACCAATTCTAGACACTCTTGTCAGTGAGGTTAAAATAAAGGTGATATGCAGTGAACAGAGGGGTTTGATTTGGGGTTTGTGTTAAGTTTTGTTGGGGTTGTTTTCTTTTTAAGTTGTGGTGTTGCAGTTTTGGTAAAAGAACCTGTAATGAACCATAGCATAAATGCTCTGTCCTATGTGATATCTTATTTGACTTTTACTCAACCACCTGCCACAGAAAGAAATAAAAATGGAAATGAGACCCAGTCTTCCAAATACCTAAGCTGGTTTGGAATTTTAATTGTGTGACTGTAATTGTCTGTTGTGCTCAGCTGTAGGATTGGAGTGCTGCTGTCATGCTTGGGAAGGGGTGTAGCTGCTTAAGGGGCTTATGGGCTTTGTCAGTTCTCAACAAAGCTGCTTTAGTACTGAAAGGGAGCTGCTTCAGTTTGCAATACATTAACAAATGTCTGCTCTTGCATGCCCTTTTTCCTGAAGGAAAGGTGGAGCCTGGTCTCAGCCTTTCAGCTTTCCCGATGTGCCCACACCGAGGTCATGAGATGGTGATGGGGGTTTGGGGTGGCACCTACACCCGTGTTCCAAGTTTCAGCAGAGGGACAAAGTAGAAAACGAGCAATGTCAGAATAAGAGTGGTTTAATATATTTGTGCCTTCTGACAGCAGATGAACAAGTACTCTTTTCTGTTGTAACTTTTAGCTCTTTTTTTCCCCACAAACATTTTTAAAATGCAGTTATTTTATTTTTTACGACTGCAGTTTTTTTGAATGCGTGTTAACACGATATCTGTTCTGCCTGTGTGTGCTTCTGTCCGGCCCGCCCGTGCGGCCCCGCGGCACCGCCAGGCCGCGGCCCCCCCGCGTTGCCAGGGCAGCGACGGCGGGAGCGGCTCCCGGCCGCCATGAGCAGGAAGGGGAGAAAGCTCCTGGTGGACTCGCTGACTCGCTCTGCCAAGCACTGTGAGTCCCCCCCGGGCTGCAGGGGCCGCGCCGCTGCCGCCCGGCCGCCCCCCGTTGTTCCCCTGCTCATCCCGCGTGGCCCCGTTCGCCTCCCATGGGAGGCACTTCACCGGCGCCCCCTTAGGAACAGCGCTTGGGGCCGGGGGTGGTATTGGTGTCATGGCCCTGGCCTGTTTTGCCAGCTTAACTTACAGCCTGTGTTTGCTTGTGTTTGGACCGGGCAGTTACCAAAAGCGAAGTGGAATGTCTGGTCAAGCTCTTCGACACGCTGGTGGCCAAAGCCATCAACCAGTTTGCTGGGGCCGGCTTCGACCGCACGGTGTTCCGAGACACCCTGTACAACGCCTTTGGCATGACGGATGACGTGGTGCTGGACCGAGGTGAGCTGGGCACGCAGCTCTGAGCGCCCTGAAGGGGCTGGGGTGACGCTGCCGACCCGGCGAGTGTCCGTACCAAACAGCGCCGTGTGGTCCCGGCCAGGACAGCAGGGGAGCTGTTGAGAAAATGGCATTTTTTCTTTCTTTATGCGTTACAGTTTTCCCTTAGATCTGGAGAGCTCACGCTCTAGCTCGAACCACAGCAGCCAGAGGCCGTGGTGCTGCCCTGTGGCTGTTTCTCTCTCAGTCTCTGTAGTGTGGTGATGGAAGAGGGCAGCGTCACTTTCCTCTTTTCTCCGGTGCTTCCACGGGAGCTGCGGGCACTGCTGGGCGGCAACTCTAGCTCAGGCCTGGAAGTGCCAGGAAGGCATTCTGATACAGTGGGTAACTCTGGGAATAGGGGCTCTGTGAACAGCTCTGAAGGGCCTGGGCAGATAGTACAAGGAGGGCAGAGTAATGAGCCAAACAACCCCTCGAAGATACAGTGATTTCACAGGTTGGTAACAAGGGACATGTTTGCAGTCACTGTGAAAGCTGAAGGAATGATCTCTGATATAGAGGTGTCTAGAGGAGTATGCAGAGCAGGCATGAGTCTGCTCTTCTTTCAGTCTCAGGCTGCCAAGAGCCACCCCTTGGTTCAACTTTCTCCATGTCTCAAGCAGGAGAGCTACTTACATGCCATAAAATAAAAACTTGTTGCAATTTTGTTCAGCAAATCAAGTGTGTCGTGGAAGATACCTCACATTACCTTACACATTCTTAAAAATTATTTTAATGCTTACATGCAAAGGGTGTGATTTCAGTTCGCAAAACCTATTGTCTTCTAAGTCAAAAATGTTTGGCTCTGCATGGAGAGATGTTCCTTCAGCCAACTTACTAATTAATATTTGAAAATACAAATTATTACAGATGTTAGTGGATGCTTTCAACTCCTTGATTATGAATTACTGTATTACAGCTTGTATGAATAGTGAAGCTGTGAGATTGAAAGTTGCTTAGGGAAGGGAAAATAAAAATATTTTGTTACATGACAGAAAAGAGGTTATTTTTCTTTGTAGATTTAATATATATTGTTTCTAGGATTACTGTGTCCAAGATTTTCCAAGACAAAACCTAGTAATTTCAATCTCAATCTGTATGCAGAATTATAAATAAATAAAAATTCCATTTTAAGGGTTATTGCTTTATTTGCTTTATATCTACATGGAAGCATAGTTTCTGTAGTTGTTTCAGTCAGGAAGGCAACAGATCAGACAAAACCTTACCAGGCAGGATTCTGGAGTGTAAGACAGTAAACTGAGGGGCAGAATCCCTTTCATTGTTACATCTTAGAGTCAAGAATGGTAATCTTACCTTGGTGAAAGCAGACAAACATCTTAAGAAGAAAGATAATTCGCAATTTTACTGAATTTAAGAAAACATTGCTTTTTTTGTGTTTCTCTATCATATAAATTTGAAATGTGTCTAATACACTTCCTAGTGTTCAGCACTTTTGATAAAGACAACACTGGCTCCATCACTGTGGAGGAATGGGTGGAAGGCTTAGCAGTGTTACTTCGAGGGACACTGGAAGAGAAGATGAAATGTAAGATTGATCTGTATGCTAATATTTAGTAGTAATGATTGAATTCATAACAAATAACACATTGCTTTTGTTATAATTTAGTAGTTACTCTTATAAAGTATTTGTTAAATGAAAATTTTTCTTCTGTGTTGTTTAATGCAATGAAACTGAGTTCTGAAATGGTTTCTCTGAGAAAGTTTTTTTTCTGTGTAAACTGCTGTTACCACAGCCACCACCTTTTTTGTTGCTTACAAAATCTTGCATTTAAACTGAAGTTTATTCTGCAGCATACACTTTAAACAAAATACATGTTTTTGTATTCAGACACAAAATTAGAAAGAAGCAGATGAATCTCTAGCATGGTTTTGGCTAATTAACAGTCTCAAGCCAAGCAAGACCAGTGCCAACATTCATTTACTGGCACAGTGGGGATACAGCAGCAGTTGCATTAGCTCCAGCAATTCTTCAGGTTGGAAACACAGATGGACAAACTGTAAGATGGTAATGAGCCTCCACAGTAATGATAGAGAAAGATGGAGAAGAAAAAATGGCAAGAACTCTAGAATTTTAAGCAGCAGGGGAAAAAAATAGGGCATGTAGAGTGAAAAAAGAACCAAAAAACAATAGAAAAAGGAGTTCCTAGGCTGCAGCATTAGCAATCCCTACTGCATTACATAAATTCATCTGGAAGTGGTCAGGGGTGTCACAGCATTAGGATGTGTGCCCAGGTTGTAATTCAGTGTGTCAGTACAACCACAGACAGTAAAATATGCATTCCTGCTGTGAGCACCATAGAGGATACTAATGCTTTGTGATGCAGTGCTGTCTGTCACAAGTGTTTGCCAGGAGTGTTTCAGCATATATATGATAAACTTGGCTCAACTGATAATGTACAGCTCAGATTTTCTGTCTACAGGTAGCAGCTTGAATGGTATGTGATTCTAGTTTGTAATCAATTTGAAATTTATTTGTATTTCAAAAGACTGTTTTGCCGTTTATGACCTGAATGGTGATGGATACATTTCAAAAGAGGAAATGTTTCAAATGCTGAAACAGAGCCTTCTCATACAACCAGCAGATGAAGAGCCTGATGAGGGAGTTAAGGACTTGGTAGAGATAGCACTGAAGAAAATGGCAAGTACTTAACTTATCGTGATACTTGAGGGTCTTTCAAACATTCACTAACTGATACTTTAAACCTTTCTAAGAGGTAACAAAATAAGTATCTTATTTACAGTGGGATTCTGCAAGTCTCCTGAGGAAAGCCAGAAATATAATCCAGATCTAATGAGTCCCAGTCCAGTATTCTCATATGAAATCCTTAATTTAGTATGTGAATGTACTATAAACTTTATGTATAAACTAGCATGTGTGTATATGCATATACATCTGTGCATGCCCAGTCAAAGCAAAAGCCCAGTCAGAAGTGGAAAACTCAAAAGTGTAAGCTGCATTTATTCCATCAGTACAGGCATCTGCAGTAGTTTCATTTTTAAGTACATTTATGTTTTACCAACCTATCATCAAATGTCTTTATCCAATTTATTTGTATGCATTCTATTAGAATACTAAACTCAAGGTTATTAATGTGAAGCTTGTCTTACAGTGCTTAATCCAGAATATCAGAGCAGCTGGAGACTGTCAATATTTTAATCAAAGCAAGATATATACTCTCCCCTTCCATGGTGGTGGTCAAAAATTTTCACTTCAAACCAGGTCTTACATCCCAACTCCTTTTATTTAAGCCCATCTTTTCAATTTTTCAATCCTACCCTTTTTACCTTAGGTAGAGGCAAGTCACACTAATCTTTCCTGAGAATAAACTGATGACCTCCAATTTGGAAATCTAACTAAAAATAGAATCCATGTTCTTTAAATATCTGTTAAACAAAACTACAAGTAATAATCCTTTGCTGAAGTGTTCCCTTCCTTTTGCAGGACTATGATCATGATGGCAAGCTTTCTTTTACGGACTTTGAAAAAGCAGTCACAGATGAAAACCTTCTCTTAGAAGCCTTTGGACCATGTTTGCCAGACATAAAGGTACCTTAACCTTGAGTTTAAAAAAAAAAAAATGGCACAAGCCATTTCCTTACAGACACTTGCACCAATCCTGTGAATGTCAGGGTATCTTAGGCCACTGTTGGCTTCATCCTCTCAGTGCCAGTTCTGCTATCCAAAGGTGGCCCCTGAGCGCTCCCACTCCAGGGTTGTTGCAACACAGTACTGCAGATATTAATCTCATCACTAAGGGAAATTTCAGTCCTGTACACTGTCATCCCAGTCTCTAGCATTCCTGTTTTCATCCAGTTTATCACATTCTGCAGCTGGGCCTTCTTGCCCTCCATGCCAGATCATTCCTTGGTGACATACCCCTACCGCTGAGCAGTTAAAATTTTAATTTCTCCTTCAGCTAGAACTTTGAATGTTCTGGCTGGTCTGCCAGTGATGACACCATTCATGCTATGAATTTACTTTTTCTAAGCTAAAAAGCAAGTCTTCGCTGCATACATATTTCAGTTCAGTACCTTTTTGTTTGGACTAAATAGAAATCTTTTAGTTAACTGAAAATTAACTTTTTTTTTTTTTTTAACAGAGTATTATGTCATTTGAACAGAAAATTTTCCGAGAAATTCCTAAATAATAACTCCAAGTTGTAACTCCATTGCTGAATACTGTTAAAAGGGGTCTTCATCTTCACCATTCTTCGTGATCTAGTAAAAAGTCGTATTTCAAGTTGTTCCTAAGCTTCAGTATTCCTTTGCTGTTAAAGTTGTCAAATAAATGAATTTACTTCTATAACTCTACCTAAACAGAGTTCTTCTGTGAGTTATAAAATATGTAACAATATGAGGTACACAGGACAACACTGCAGCAATAATACAGTATAATAGTTTCTTCATTCCAAGCCATTGGAATAACACCATTTTAAATAGGGAATCACTGGGAAATGCAATATAAAGAAAGTTTTATTTTTTACATAAAAAATACATATTTTAAACTATATTCTTTACAAAAGGACTATTGGAAGATGCTGCCAGCAGTATCTATATTCTTCTTCTCTGCTTTACAACTGGTTTGGCTGAGCTGCTCTCTGGCTTTTCCACAGACGTTGAAACTGAATCTGCTACCTAAATTGGAGGGGAAAAAAATTTAGTAACCTGTAACCATTACTTTTTTAATGCTCATTTCAGAGTAAGGCTGTATCTCTAAGATTTGAGTATTGGGAGCCATTTATTACTATCATCACACTTGTGTGGAATTTTCCTGCTAACTAGAGGAAGAAAGTAATACTAAAAGGCAGCATTAAACACAAGAGAGGTGAAACTTAGAAGATTCAGCACTACCATTTTTGTATTTAACTACACAAACTGATTTCAGATAGTCAGTGATATAGTATCCCATGTGTCATCTCCCTTCTTCCTAACAGGTGTTTTTGAGTAAGGTTTGATGTGCTTTATAAACTCAGGTATTTCAGGAAATGAAGGGAAAGCAGACACATGCATTTTGACATGTATTTTAGACAGGTATTTAATACAAAGAGTGCATATTTGTAAGATACGCACTTTCAAATCAATCTAGTTAGTCAAGGGAGCTTTTTCATATCTTACTGTAAGTGATATGTTCCAGCAGGAAGGTCTGACCTGCTAATTGATTAATATCCTCCATAAAAGGATACATAGCTTAACACATCCTTCCCAGCATGGAATTAATGATTCTGTACAGCTCTTAATGGCATAAGAAACATTGGAGCAAAATTACATTGAGCTCTGACTTCCATTATTTTCCTTTCAGAAACCAGATACAAGTAGCACACTGGAGTCAGCAGGACTGCCTGCAAAATTATCATGCCTTTACATGTGTAGAAAATAAAAGTGGTTTATGAAAAATCATGTAAGAACATGCACTGACATTTACACTTTCTCAAGTGTAATGTAAGAGGTCTGGAGCATACCTGCAATATTCTAGACTGTGGAAAAGTTAAATAGTAAGAGCACTAGCTTTAAGTGGCAGATAATGAGTAAATGCTGAATAAAACAATCAGACAGTCACTATTTTTATATATAACAAGCACCTATGTTTGAACTATCAGAACTTTAGGAACCCATACCTCTTTCAGTTTATTTCGAATTAATGTAGCTGAAGTATTCAAAGACTCATCGTCCATATCCACTTTAGGTATTTCTGGTAGTTGTGGACCAATAACAACTTCAGTACTGTCCTCGCTTGTTCCAATGAGGGAAAACTTGTTACCTTCTTCTCTTTTCCTCTTACGTTCTTGAAGGTGAGTTGTACGAGGCATAAACCTGTCAATTCCATTGCAAGCTGGAACCATTCTTGGCTGCATTAAGGAAGCTGGTGGAGTATGTCCTCCTGGATGTACACTTGGAGTTAAAGATGTGTTTTGACCAAAGTACCCAGAAATTTCAGCACAATTGTTATCATAGGGTGGAGGTGTTAACAGGCTCTGATTCTGATTCCCAGATGGAGATGCTGTGCTGTGGGATACCCCAGGAGAACTTGTAAAGCAGGACGGATCCCAGTTACTGGCTATACTTGATCCTGATGTACTCCATGGACAATCATGCTCAGAGTTCTTTGAGGTTGTCTTCTTAGGGCCTTCTACTCTTCTTAACACAAAGCAATCTTTAAAATAACAACAAAGAACCACCTTCACTATTTCATGTCATTATTAGTTCTAACAGCCAAGAACAAAACTTTTGATATAAATGCAGAAACAATACCAGATACCCAGTACCTTTCTGTGATTATTTTTAAGCTTAAAATACAACATATTCAACTTTCAAACCAGTTGAAATTTTCCAGTCTAGTGCCTTTGCTGGTTTATAACACTGAAAAAACACAGATGTTTTGATGTTAAAAATCAGTGGGTTTACTCCCTTTAGAAATCCTCACACAGAGACTAATAATACCCAAGTATGTGAGCACAAGAGGAGAAGCTAGTGCTCAGCAATTTGCTTATTCTTCAGCTTGCCCAGCCTTCAGCACTGCCTGGGAACTCTGTGGTACAGGAGCCTTTGTAAACACAGTCCATTCTTAACATTCCCCCAATGCAAAGATGTGGGCTGGAGAAATTTTTTTGACCGTTCTGGTATGGTCATATTCCTTCCAAAACTGTCCCTTTGTCATGCCTGAGGAGGCTGGAACAAGGGTGAAAGTGTGATCCCAAATTTACTGCCAGTGCTTTAAATTTCTGGTAACATTTTGAAAGAAAACAAAAAGTGAAGGAAATACTTCATTATTAAAGCTTAATAACTTCATTATTTTAGTCAAAAAATTACTTTGAAAAGGATATAGCTCTCTACATACGGAGAGATGTCTCCCTGTAAGCATACTTAAAATGCATCTGTATTGGGTTTGCATGGCCTGTTTTTTTGTAGCAGGGGGCGCTGCAAGGTTGGCTTTTGTGAGATGCTGCCAGAATCTTTCACCATGTCTGGCACAGCCAATCCCTGGTGACTCCAGAGATGGATGTGCTGCTGGGCAAGGCCAGGCCGATTAGAAATGGTGGTAACACCTCTGTGGTAGCAGATTAACAAAGGACAATAAACAAGAAGTGGTTGCACAGCTGTAACTACGGCCAGAGAAGAGCACAGTGAGAAGGTGAGAGGGGCAGCCCTGCAGACACCACGGGCAGCACAGGAGGGGCAGGAGGTGCTCCAGGCCTGGGGCCGAGATTCCCCTCAGGCCGTGGAGCAGCTGTGGCCCTGCAGCCCATGGAGGCCATGGGGATGCAGGGATCCACCACAGCCCGTGCAGGAGCCCCAGGCCAGAGCACGTGGATGCCTGGGAGGAGGCTGTGATCCTGTGGGAGACCCGTGGAGAGGGCCCTGCTCCCAGGCTGGAGCTGCCTGTCCTTGAAGGACTGCACCCAAGGAGGAGTGACCCACACCGCAGCAGTGTGGGGAGGACTGTTCCCCATGGCATGGACTCACATGGCAGCAGGTCACAGGGAGCTGCTGCTCCTGAGATGAGCTCACGTTGGAGAGGTTCACAGAGAACTGTCTCCTGTGCCACCCCACGGTGCAGCAGGGGAATGACTCCTCTCCTTGAGCAGCAGGAGAAGCCACGGGTGATGGACTGACCACAACCCCCTTTCCTGTCCCCCTGCACTGCTGGGGTAGGGGGTAGAGCTGAGAAGGGAGGAAGGTGTTTATAAGGGCTTATTTTACTTCTCAATATCCTGCTCTGATTTTATTATTATTAAATTAACTTTATGTCTCCAAGTAGAGCCTGTTTTGCCTTGTTGGTATTTGATGAGCAATCTCTGTCCTGGTCCTTATCTGAACCCATGAACCATTTGTTAAATTTTCTCTCCTCTGTCCAGTTTGTGGAGGGCAGTGAGTGAGTGGCTTTTGGCATCTGGCCACCATCAACACACTACAGTACCTTTAAAAGAGGTAGGTAAAAAGTGTTTTCTTTAACGCTTTAGCCAAAACCCCACCCAGTACTGAAGAACATTAAAGCCTTACAGGAAATTTAGTCAGGATTCTATAGGAAATTTAACCACAAACCTCTTTGATTTGTTGCTTTTGCTATATACTTTCTTCTATCCTGCAACTTCTCTCTAGTTTCTTGGACTGTTTCAAATTCTGGAGCATAGCACACGTGCAGCAAACTACCAAAGAAACTTCGTTCATCCATTTTTTTCTTGGCCACCCTGAAGGGAATTAAAGTCTGTCAGCAAAACTGAGGATTTTACTCCAACTGTTTAGAAACTTAACACATTGCCAAGTACAGAAGGTGTAAAAGATTAAGATAACAAGAGGCAGATATTGCCCTGTCCAATACCTTGCACACTGTAGCTTCTGGAATTTTATAAGGTACACTTCAGTAAACTGCTCTGCTGGATATTCATCTAGAGCATGATATTCCTCAATGGCACCATATAATGCAAATTGTTCAACTAATTCCTTCATAACACCTAATGCAGGAACTCCTTGTATCAGTAAATAGCGAGATTCCAAGTTGATAGTGTAAACCTGAAAAAAACAAAAACAAAGACTATTCAAAAACATTCCCAGTCTTGCTTTATTGCAAAAGGCACGCATTTTCTCCATGTTTTCTGTTTTTCTCCAAATCCTCTCAGGATGCTGAAAAGCCCTATGTACTCTCTTTCACAGGACAGTAAGTGCATGGTTATTTGGGACCTCTTCATCACTGAGCAAGAGCTGAACTCATGCCTCTTATGCACAGTAAAACTCAAATGAGACTTGACTTTTCTGCACAAGGTCAGAGTACTGCTGCCAATTGCTGAGCAAAATCTCTGATGTCTCTGGCCAACTTCCATGCAAGACGGACTAGTAACCAGTTCATAGGAGGTACTGTCAAAAGACAGAAAAAACACTGAAAAATCAGTCTTCTTCATTGGCAAAGAAGTCATGCAGGTGAGGAAAACTGCTTTTTTCCACATAGGGAGTTAAAAAACAATTTCCACAATTCCCTGGGGCAAATCCTGTGTGTACAGAGCTGTCTACTTCCCATGGTGATCCAACAGCATACATTTTTAAGACACAGATAAAATCTGGATGCTGAGAGAAACAAGGTCTTCTCCCAGCAGGTTAAAAACTAAACCATTCTCTTCTGCTTTGTGTAGTGACTGCCACAGAACAGACTCTAAGCAAAGCTTTTCGATGGCTCCCTGTGTGCAGTAGGCAGCTAGGAAACTCATCCCTGAGATCAAAGGAAATTTATTCGGAGTTTGTTAAAAAAAAAACAACTCAAACCACAAACATTTAGACTGCATAAATTATACATATTTTTTTTAAAAAATATATATTCTGGACAAAGTGGGAACTGCTTGGGAAATCAACTCTCAAACTTCCACTATAAAAGTCTCCACAGGCAGGTCACATAAGTTTTTTTGTGGCAGCAGCACACTCCCACCTACATTCTTTTGGGAGTACAGGACATCGCTTTCACTATGCGATTTTTTTTTTTTTTTGGAAGGTTTGTACTTCTACCTCTTTCTTGTCCAGGAAGAAAATATTCAAATAAGGTTTTTTCCACACCTGGGACACCCATACTGTTTCTGCTGCGTGTATTCTCCAGTGCCCAGTGCTGGCTGGATGCCTGTGCTGGCCAGAGCTCTGTGCATGCACAAGGTTCTCTGGCCTCTACCCCACCGTGTACACTTGGAAGAACAAAACAACTTAATAGCTTTGAGACTTCATGAGGTATGAGAGGCTTGAAATTTTACAGGAAAGTGGTGATAGTGAAAGAGATGTGCCGTATGAGTGTGGGCACGGAGCCATTGTGAGACCACACCTCAGATCCTGGGCTCAGGGCTCTGTCCCCAAGGCACTGAGGTGCCGGAGCACGTCCAGAGAGGGGCAGCGGAGCGGGTCTGCATCACAGGTCGGATGAGGAGCAGCTCAGCGAGCTGCCAGGGGCTCAGGTTGGAAAGAAGGTGGCTCAGGGAGCCCTCATGGCTCTCTACAACTCCCTGACAGAGGCTGGAAACAGATTGGGTTGGACTTCATGATCTTAAAGGTCTTTTCCAAACCAAGCACTTCCTTTCAAACGCCAGCCCTTTAAGGTGCCGCTACAGCTCGCTGTACACTTAGCGCAACCAGAGATACCCAAATCGCGCAGTTCTGCTGCAGTAACGAGAAGCTCCTGCCGCGCAGCAGGCGAGGCCCAGAGCCTCTCTCTCTCCCTCCCGGGGAGCCGCGGGGCTCCAGCGCGGGCCCGGCCGCCCCCAGCCCCGTCACCCGAAGCGGCCCGGCCCCGGCCCCTCCCGGCCCCTCCCGGCACCTTCACGGCGCGCGGCCCCCACCCCTCGCGGTACTTGGCGCGCGACTCGCAGGCTCCCAGCTGCGCGTGGTGCCGGCACGGAGCGCCCGGGCCCCCGCTGCTGCCGGCCGCCATCTTCCCGTCGGCCCCGCGACGCGCAGCCCCCATTGGCTCCCTCCGAGCGGCGGGGAGGAGGAGCCGCGGCCGGCAGAGAAGGAGCCAATCGGGGGCGGGCAGCGGGGAAATGCCGCGCCCGCATTGGCCGGCGGTGGGTGGGTTGTACCACTGCCCCGGGGGTGGCAGGGAGCATCGCCCCCCGCGGCGCCGCGGTAGGCGGCCCGTGCCCGGGCGCGCAGGGCCGGCGGGCAGCGGCCATGTGGGGCTGTGGCGACCCCGGTGGAGCCGCCGCCGCCACCGTCGTCCTGAGCGGGACCCGCGACTGCTTCCTGCACCTGCCGCCCGCGCTGGCCTCGCTCCTCCGCCTGCAGCAGGTACCGGGGCGGCGCCGCTCGGGGCCCGGGCGCAGGGAGCGCACCCCCGCCTCCTGTTACCATGGCGATACGGAGCCGCCTCCCCTCCCTCAGCGCTCCCCGCCGCCGGGACCCCTCGCGGGAGACCTCGGGGAGCCCCTCCTTCCTGCGTGGCCCAGTATCGTCACCAATTCCTAATAAAACGCGGGAATTTTTCTTCCCCAGCGCGGTCTGGCACAGCGGGCATCTGCGTCTCTGTCATCACTCCCTATTTCATACCAGTTTTCCCCGTAACCTGCTGGCATTAAGCGAATAATGTGCAAATGTTGAATTCAGGTGGGAGAAGAGGTGACAAATCCATGCAGAAGCCTCATTGTTGGTGTACACAAATGAAATGTGTCACTGCAGAAAGGCACTCCCGTCATGCAGAAGACGCGGGGTCAGCTCTGTGGAGGGCAGCGTTCACTGTAAATAACATTTCACACGTGGAAAAGGGAGGAGAGCCACTGTGTGCCTCTTGGGCCGTGAGCACAGAGCTGAGTGCCTGCAGAACAGGGTGGAAAATGGCAGGAATGAGCCGAGGAGGATGCGAGCAAAGCCGGGAGTGCTGGCACAGCCCCGGGCCGAGCAGGCCTCCCTCGCACGGGTCACCTCCTGCTCTCAAGGCCAAAAAGGGCATTTCGCAACAGGAAAACAACACAGGCGTGTAAAAACCTGCTCCTTCACCTTTGGGGTGGAAGTAGGAGGCTGGTGGAATTGGAAGAGGGGCGGTACTAAATGTGAGCTTCATTTCAGCTGCAGTTTCTGGATGTTTTACAGATCTGATGTCAAGAGAGAGGAGTGCACTTGCTTTGAAGTCTTGTAATGTCATTGTGTTTGTTACGGTGGACTCCTGCTTGTGTTTAACCTGAGCTGCTAAATGCTAAGATTGACTCTCAGAATACTGGATAGAAATAGTGTCTTAAATACATCTAATGAATAAAAATGTTTAAAAGTGGATAAATGGAATCAAAAGCTGGATCTAATTGCAGAAGATATTAGATAAGTTCTTCAGTTTGACATCAGAATATCTGGGCAGTTCTGAAACAGATTGATAAAATCATTTTGGTCTGAGTTAATGTGATTTTTGACTTACTCTATATGTATCACAGAAGCACTCTTGGAGACCATGTAAATGTTATAATTTTTGTGACATCAAAGTGTGTTTATTTATTTTCCTCATTTGGGAAATGCAAATGTGCAGTTACACATTTCTGTAAAATATTTTTTTATACCACGTCATGCAGAAGAAAGAAAAAATAATTAATTTTCTTACTTAAAAATAGTCCATAAAAATAGAAAGCTGTTTAAGAATTGAAACCAGCACTCACTTCTATGTTGGGAGTTGTACAAGCAAGGTGTAAAATCCAGATAATATCTTTAATTCCTTTGATCTCTCTAATCACATACAGTTTAGGTTGTCTAATAGTCATCTCACTTAGCTGGTTTTGTATCAATTTGTTTTCTTTCTCTGTAACTCATAGGGCCAAGCTGTGAAAGTATCCTGTGGTCATCAGCCGGTATTTTTGAGCTGGATGGAAACCAGGCATCGAGGTCACCAGGGTGAAAATATTGCAGAGATTAACAGACATTTGGCAGAGAAACTTGGCATCACAGATGGAGAACAGGTTTGAAATACTACCTTTGTTTTCTGTTTAAATAAAGAGTATATTGGAAGATAAGTGAAAAGGTAATACTTCATGAGTTAGCTATGACTTTGTTTCATGTATTTAGACAGTTTCTTTTTTAACATCTGCTCATGAGAAAAGTTAACTATCATTAAATGTCTTGAACATGAAAAGATTTGCTCATTAAACCACCAATTGCCTAAACAATGCTAGGCTAGGCTTCTGGGTAGGTCTTTGCAGGGCTGTACCAGCTCATCAATGACACTGATTTTAAGAAAATACACTTTTAAGCAATTGAAAAATTTGGAATGGGAATATTTGGTTTAGAGTTCCTGTTGTTTTAAAGTAGCTATTGACTTTCTGCATATTCTTATTTAACTTACTTGGAGTTTAAATTTTCATCCCTTTTTCACCCCTTCACCATATATCCCTTTCTCTTTGAATATTAGTTTTCACCTCATATCTTCAGATAAATATCTGTCTGTCTATCTCTCTATCTGTCTATCTCTATCTAGCTACTCTTTGTACATTTACTCTTGAACACTCTGTTAAACTTTTCATAAATGACTGTCATTGAGCAGAAGTTAGAGGTACCCAAGAGGCAGACAGAGATTTCTGACATGGGACTACTAAAATCTCAAAATCAAAGGATTTTTTTTCTATTGCTAGGTAGATATTTAACCAAACAAGAATAAAAAAGTACTGCTTTACACAGTGTCATTGTGTAGTATATTCATATTTGCCTATTCTCTTATATACAAAATTTTGTTCAACATCATAGAAGACATCAGAGTGTGACTCAAAGCAGTGTATTATGTTACTTTGTTTACTTTTTAAACTTACTTTCTCTATAAATTGTATGTCTGTTTGCAGAAATTTCCAGTTTAGTAGTTGAGCAGCCAGGCATCTGCCGTTTTTATTTCTAGAAACTAATAGTCTTCAACAGGAAAACAATTGACAGAGGAGACCTAAGAAAACCTCACCCAGGAGTTGCTGGGAATAATCATCTGTACAATCAAATGAATACATGATTAATTAGTTTCACCATTGTTTTGGATTCTGGAGTTACATGTTTGCTGTATGATCTTCTTTTTGCTGTGCTGGGGAAAAGATATTCCTCTCAATTATTGCTTCAAACTAAGGACATAGAGAATTTCAAAACTGATTGTTGCTTTTGTAAAAGGTGGCCTAACATAATTCTCTCAGAGGACAGGCAACTAGTTTTATCTCAGGAAAAAAATTAGTGACGTTTCTTTGAAAATTAATTGCAAGATGTTGTTTGCAAATTGTTTGTGGATTTTTTGGGGGTTTTTTTTGGGTTTTTTTTGGTTTTTTTTGTCAAATGAAACCTTTGTCAAAAATTGACTTTTGAAGTCTGTATTTAATGCATTCTGAAAAACCTAAGCCACAACATCTTTTACCATTATTCCTGATTCACATGATATTAAAACTGTTCTGTGGACGTGGGGCTGCTACCTATGAAACCATTCATTGAGGAGCTGGGCTTGCTTTTCTATTGTACTTTTTTCCTTGTTTCTCAGCTGGTTCTAAATTGATGCACAAGTGAATTAATTTTTTCAACTTTCTAAAATCCTGGGGACTGAAAAATAAAGATTTGAAAATGGAAAGATGGTGATGTGATCAAGATGTATTAAAAATGGATTGTTTGTTACCACCTGGTAAACTTCTAATTCTTTTAATATTCACTGCTTATTGACATCCCTGAGCCTAATGGGATCCATTTCCCATCCATTGAATATTCATCTGCTTCTGAATTACCTAGTGCCATTAGGATGGTGTGTGCTCCAAGTTGTGAAAACATACAATGAGGGAGATGGCAGTTTTCTAGTTGAAATAAAGATGGAGCTTTTATATAAAAAATAAGGAGTTAAATATTTTCGTGTTACTTTCGCCAGGTGTTTCTTGAACCCTGTTCCCATGTGTCCTCCTGTCAGCAAGTAGAAGTGGAACCACTCACGGCAGATGATTGGGAAATTCTGGTAATAAAACCCCTTCATTGTTCATGTTCTTGTCTTACAGATGACAGAGATTCTGACTCAAGCAGTTTTTTGCACAATGCCCCATTCCTTTCAGCCTCTAAAGAAATATTAAATATGGTGGAGTTTAGTTGTATTTTATATTTCAAATGTTGTATTATAAAGAGACATACTTTTTTCCTTCAAACAAATGTTTAAATGGTATGCAATATTAATTTATAATGGTATCCCATTTCCCCAGGAACTGCATGCTTCCTCCCTTGAAAGACATCTTCTTGACCAGATTCGCGTGGTGTTTCCAAGAGCCATCTTTCCTGTGTGGGTTGAGCAGCACACCCATGTTTACATCAGAATTGGTAAGCAGCGTGAGCTCATGGCTCTCGGGGCACCTCCAGTAAGCTGCGTTGCAGGGGTAGCTGCATTCATTGGCATCTTCTGCTCATACTTAGGTACACTTGTGCCAGCAGCCCCATATGGGAGATTAGAGCCATGCACGGAGCTTCTGATATGCCCCAAAACACACGGTCCTGAGGAGAATATCACCAGCACACCTGCCACAGAAAGTGACATCTTGCTCAAAAATTTTGTGAAAAATAACATGGAACAAGAAGAAACATTAAAAGATCCTTTTGCCAAACAACCTTACTTAAAGCCTGGAGTCCTTGAAGAGAGTAAGACTGATGCAAACACGACGTTTGGCTCAAATGTTCTCCCAAATATATGGAATTTCATAGGGAACATTTTCTCTAATACATCTGAGCAGAAACAAAAGACTTCAAGTGATAACGATGAAATGAGCATCTTCAAAGACAAGCTGCTGAACTTAATTCACATGGATTCCATTTTTAGAGTATGTCAATCCCAGCCTCCCAGCGTACAGAACGTATCCACCAATCATGAATTTCTGAAAAGCAATGCTGTTCACATTTTTCCATGGAATTTAGAATATATTGATTTGGATCCAAATCCTGTAGTATCATACGGGAAAATTAATGAGCTGCTTTCCCCAAGACAACGT